TTGCATTGTGGGACGCCCTATAGCATCTAAAGCCTTGATATTAGAATTAACGATCTGTAAGGACGAACGTAAGGATTTTGAGTCTCTTGAATTGATATGTGGTAGTGAAAATAATGCTCTAATATGATGCTGACTAATAATTCGTTTGTTCTCATATCTTTCCGTTAGTAAATCCCATGCTGACAAGTAATTATCTGTGGTTGGTGCTAAGTGACTAATTGTTTTTTGTGCATCTCCTGTCAAACTACCTCGCAAATAATGGAATTTCTGAACTGGATTTAAACTTTGATTATCATGGATAAGTGATTTGTAACAATCCCTGAAACTGATCCATTCCGTGAATGCACCACTGAAAGCCGGTATAGAAATTTCAGGCAATTTGATGGAGATAGAATCGGGTTTGTTTTGATTCGAATTTGCCTGAGCAACTGTGTCTACTTCGATACCTTTTTTTTGAATAAGTTGTTTGGCCTCGCTGATGGCCTTAAAATATTTATTTTCGAACTCGAATGAGTCCTCATCTTTAACATGAGACTCATCGGTTTCTATAATTTCTAAATTGATATTTTCAAATGCTTTTAACAAAGGTTGGATTGCACTTATTCGTTCTTCTATCTCAGCAATCTGTTCTGATTTTCGGGGTCCGATATAAATTTGCAAAAGTTAGTTAATTTAGTTTTAATCGCAGCTCGTCTTCTAACCAAAAGTTTAATTTCCCCCATTGTAATGAAACACGATATTAATTACAACAGCACATGCAAAGGAGAGTGTGGAAATATGGTAAAGAAGAAAAGTAGTGATCCACAAACCTGTGTCGGTGACGTGCCGATGATGAAGAAGAACTCTTGGATGTAGCGTAGTAATGTAGCGATGTGATGGCTATTAATTTGTTGATTATGAAGATGTTGGGAGAAACTGCGTTGCACTTGCACAAGCACGTTTCCCGAATGTCGAATATTGACACTGCGTTCAATATCCGGCTCGAAGGACCATATGTTGACGACTGGAGCTTTTTCCAGCCGTATTTTGTGTTCATAGAACTAAGAATGAAAGTCTTGCGTTGCTACACTTGGTTTATTGTTTCGCTTGCGGTGGTTACATCGCTACTGGTCTTAAAATTAAAAATTAACACAAAGTATAAAAATAAGTGGGGGTTAGGCCGACTTCTCCTGTGATCGCCGCCAATTCTTCAAAAGGAGCGAGCCGCCCCAAAGGGAGCCGCCCCAAAGGGAGCCGCTCCAAAGGGAGCCGCTCCAAAGGGAGCCGCTCCAAAGAGATCCGACTACACGCTCCGCCAGGAAGTCGGCATCTTTGGAGCGTTGAGTTGCGGCAAAGGCGGCAAATTGCAACTACTACTTAACAATTAACATGTAGGTTGTTTTCCAAATTAATATAAAATCGAACTAAAAAACGACGCAAATCCTGTATCTTTGCCACCTTACAGAATTCCTATAAAATTGCAGGATAAAGTTAAAAATGAATTAGACAGATTGTGTAAATTGGATATTATTACAAAATATGATAAAACGTTGAGACCGTGTTTAGATCCCAAATATATAAATGAAAGTATTAAAGACGAACATTTTGAAATACCTACATTGTCTGATCTAAAATATAAACTTGGTAAAGCCAAATTTTTTAGTTGTTTGGATCTAAAGGAGGAATTTTGGCAGATTAGGCTTGATGAAAGTTGTATTCAACACTGTGTTTTTTCAACAATGTTTGGTAGTTATGCGTTTAAAAGACTACCATTTGGTTTGAAAATATCTGCCCAAGTCTTTCAGAAATTCAATTCTCAAACTTTCGGAGATATTGATAATATCTTTATTTATATTGATGATATACTGATTTTTGCAGAAACTGAAGAACAGCATGATCAAACGCTAATTAAAGTTCTAGAAAGGGCAAAAGCAATGAATATTAAATTCAATTTAAAGAAATTCCAATATAAACAAAAATCAATTAAATATTTAGGGCACATTTTTCATAATGGTACTGTCGAAATTGATCCAGAACGAATCAAAGCAATAATGCAATATGATACACCACGTGATAAAAAAGACTTACAACGACTGTTGGGTTTAATTAACTATTTGCGCGATTTTATCCCAAATTTGGTTAAGCAATCCAATTCATTAAGACAGTTACTCAAAAAAGATTCACAATTTGTATGGTTAGATGGTCATACTCAATGCTTAAATAACATAAAAAAATTGATAAGTGATGCGCCGTCACTAAATAATTTTGATCGAAATAAAGAAATTGTAATACAAACTGACAGTAGCAAAAATGGCATTGGTTGTGTACTCTTGCAGGATAAAAAACCTATTAGCTTTGCATCAAAAAGTTTGTCACACAATGAAATCAAATATGCACAAATAGAAAAAGAATTTTTAGCGATATTATTTGCATGTCAACGTTTTCATTATTTCATTTATGGCCAAAAAATTAAAATTCAAACGGATCATAAACCTTTAATTGGTATAATGAATAAAAAAATAAATCAAATTCCATCTAGTCGACTTCAAAGAATTCGTTTCAAGTTATCAATGTATGATTTCGAATTAGTGTACACTCCGGGTAAAAACATGTTAATTGCAGACGCGATAAGTCGAGCATGTTCAACAGCTGAAAATATTGAAACTGACATAGAATTGAATCAAGTAATTCATAGTTAATGTGAGCGGCAAAATAATCGAAAAAATAAAATACGAAACGAATAAAGATGAAATCTTACAAGAATTAATATCATTATGTATCAATGGTTGGCCACAAGATAAATCAAAAGTTAATGAACATGTAAAATTTTATTATAATATGCGGCATGACATTTTTGTAAATGATGGAATAGTCTACATACAAAATAAAATGATTCCAAAAAACCTAGAAACTTTTATTCTTAACAAAGTCCATGAATCACACTTAGATATTTACAAAACCAAGTGGAGAGCAAAATCATTATTTTATTTCATTAATATGGATTCAAAAATTGAAGAACTGATTGCGAAATGCCAAACTTGTCAAAAATATAGACCTAAAAATGCCCATGAACCAATGATAATTCACGAAATTCCTTCAATTCCGTTTGAAATAGTAGGTTGTGATATTCTGGAATATGCTGAAAAAAATTATTTAGTTTTAGCGGACTATTATTCACATTGGGTAGAATTGAAATTACTACCAAACAAAAATTCAGACTCTGTTATTAAAGCACTCAAAGAAATTTTTGCGACACATGGAATACCTGATAAATTAATTGCTGATAATATGCCATTCAATTCGTTCGAAATGCACAATTTTGCTACCAATTGGAATTGTTCAATAACTGCAAGCAGTCCGAGATATCCTCGTAGTAATAGTTTGAGTGAACAATATGTTGGCATTTGTAAAAATTTTTTAACGATATCTAACGAAACAGGGACAGATATTGAAAGTATCTTACTCGGTTACAGAAATTCACCCCTTTTCAATACAGGAATCACACCAGCAATGTTATTGTACAGCAGAAAAATAAAAACTAAATTACCCATGTTGAAAACAATGTTACAACCACAAACTGTCGAAAACTTTCATAACATGCTTGAAAATCACAAACTTAAAACAAAAATAAATCATGACAAAAATAACAAAGAAAGAAATTATGATCTAAATAAAAAATTTATTATGTATAGGGATAACGATAAAAAAATATGGAAACCAGCAAAAATCGTAAAACCATGGCATACACCGCGTTCAGTAATAATCAAAGATTTAAATATTAATAAGACTTTAAGACGCAACACTGTAGATTTGAACGTTAACAATCATTATAATTTTAAAAATGCCAAAAATTGTAGGGAGGATGAGGAGCAAGTGAAACAAATGAAAAGTTCTTGCAAATCAATCTCTGATAATAATCAAAATGTAAACAGACCAAATTGTGACGTAAATCAACCGAGAATAACACGCTATGGACGTATTGTAAAGCCTGTTGTTAAGTTGAATTTGTAAATATTAAGAAGTAGGATAAGTAGTTTATGTAATGTTAAGAATTTATGTTTTTATTGAAAAAAGGGAGATGTAGTGATAAAACATACAAGTATTACGGGTTGCATAAGAAAGAAACAAGATAACATGGCATACTGAATGTAATCACGTTGTTTCAATAAATCACAAATGATCTAAAAGTTTATTTCATTAAAAACGACAAGACATACAGGGTGTTCCTTTTATCTGTTTACGCCTGATAATTTTTGCATAGGCAACGTATTATACACCCCAGAGACGACTTCGTCCAGTTTAATTAATAAGCAATCATAGCAATCACAAAAAAATGACAAAGATGTCAATGCCAAATAATGAAAAAATGGAAAAAATTAATACTCATTTTATTTTAAAATACCCCGCTACAAAAATGTAATACGAAAAAAACCTAATAGGTATGCAGTCGTCACATTTCCGACAGCGAGGGAAGTACTGTCTGAACTCTTTAGACCAATTTGTTTCATTACCGAATGTTTGGTTGAAAAGCCAGTTTCTGCTCATAATAAAATCTTTAGGCCACTGTAATTCAAATCTTAATTTTTGCTGTACCTAACAATTTATTGATGAATGATTGTATCAATAGACGCGTGTTTGAAGTAAAAACTTTCAAAACTCAAAATTCTCGGATATTGATTTCGTCACTTACGCAACCCGCAGTGTCATTAACATGTTAGTTGCACCGAAAAATACTGTTTTTTTTTATACTTGATTTCTTGAAAATACAGAGAAATAAAATACTTCAGTAGAAAAAAAACATATTTATATTAAGAACTACATATTATAAGGTTATTACGGTTATTACGCTATTAGTTATCTGCGCGTACAGGAATCTGTAATTTAATTTTTTTAAATCCATTGTATTTGTTTTCACATTTTCTCTTGGTAAAGTCAAGTTTATCTACTTCTTCTTAAATCAGATAACATTGCGAAATTTTAATTACAAAGTTTCGGCATTACCGGACTACCATCGGTGAGTAACTTTCTTTAGCCGTACTCATAACCTAACCATAAGTAGTAACAATTTTGCAGTGCAAGATAATGTACTGTTGAGGTAAAGCACCACTCATAAAATTATCCGTATTCTAATAAACATTTACCAAATATAGATAACGAAAAATGTTTTTGGAATACTCCTGGCACTTTGAGGTTAAGTCTTCTTGCAATCACAACTGTAACGTTTGCCCCTACTTCACGACTTCAGCTTTTTTGATGATAAACCATATGAGACGCCACAAGTCACCATCAATACTCTTCAACTGTGAAAACGCCGACTTGGAAGCCTACTACTGCAAAGACTGTGACTTTCAAACCGAATTAACTGTTTCCTTCAAAAAACACCTCCAGCAATGTCATAATCTGAAACAGCGCCATGAAGGAAACCTGCCCGAAGACGAATTTACCATTCATAATTATACATGCAGAAAGTGTTGTTTTAAAACACACTTCCCAATTAAATGGTTACAACACACTGAAAAATGTTTAAGGAATGTAAATGCTCGAGTAATAACACATAGCGACAAAGACAGCATGACTTCTTATGAATGTTACCATTGTGGATTCAGATACAAATACAAAACGAACTTAAATAGCCACATACGGTGGAAACATGCAGACGAAAGGAAAATTAAATGGTTGCTTTGCACACAGTGTCCATACAAAGCCAAATACAACTCTCGTTTAAAAAGTCACGTAAATGTGCACCATTTAAATGAAGACGATATTAAGTGGTTTAAATGTAAAGAGTGCCCCTATAAATCCAAATATAAAGCAACTTTAAATATACACATAAATGCGCGACATTTAGATGAAGAAAATGTTAAGTGGTATCATTGCAAGGTGTGTTCATACAAATCTAAACGCAAAACTGTTTTAAGAACCCACGTAAACGTGAAACACTTGGATGAAAGGGACATTAGATGGTACGACTGCACTGAATGTTCATTTAAAAGTAAGCATAAGAAAAATTTTAAAAGGCATATAAAAACGGCACATTTGGACGAATGTGATATTAAATGGCACGAGTGCAAAGAGTGCCCATTCAAAACCAAACATAAATCAGTTTTAACAAATCATATAAACGCACGTCACATAGATGAACAAGATATTAAGTGGTATGAATGCAAAAAGTGTCCATACAAATCTAAGAGCAATACGAATTTAAGAAAACACGTAAATGCACATCATACAGATGAACAGGATATTAAATGGTATGAATGTGAAAAGTGTCCTTTCAAAAATAAATATAAATCAACACTAAATGTACACATAAATACACACCACTTGGATGAACACCAGATTAAGTGGTACGTGTGTGACAAGTGTCCTTTCAAGTCTAAACACAATAGTAATTTAAGAAAACATACAATTGCACATCATTTGGATGAACATGAGATTAAATGGTATGAATGTGCAAAGTGCTCATGTAAATTTAAACGGAGTGATCATTTAAAACGACACATGAATACGCGACATGGAGAAAATCTTAAATTTGAAAGTTTTGGAGGAAAAAATGTTAAACTAATTGACTGTAGTGTCATACCACATTTAAGTAATAAATTGTCGATTGACGGTGCTGCAACGTTAGCATTACAGAAAGACAGTGTTAGGATAACTAGTGATAAGAATTTGATTTGATGAGTTCTAACTGAAAAGTGAAGTAGAACACTGTTGTAGACCGAATTAATTAATCCATAAATAAATAAGCATCTTCCACAATACTGTAATATTCGATTATAATGCTTGTAATAAAGATTTATTACATTACCAGAAAGTGTTAAAAATTAATGTTGGTGAATAAAGATAGTATTAAGCTTATGTTCTAATTATTTTAATCTTAAAGTGAACAAGTTAAGGGGAAATTACATTTTTCGTTCAGCAAAGTTTGCACCAAGCAGGAAACTTTATTTTCAAATATTTTAAATGTAGGGGAAAGGGTTATAATAACGGATTAGGACAGAGTTTTTAAAATTTTGGGTAAAAGCAACATTTTCAGGGAACCTCTAGAATGTCACAGAACGTAAGTTATTTTAGAAGGAAAATGTGCCAGGACGAACATGGTTCAACTGCTTGTATAAATGGTTGCATGTACGTTTTATTTAATATGTTTAATATCGAGTGCGTGATGTAAACTGTCCACAAATTAACATTAATGACAATGGAGAAAAAAATATTGAATTTGCATGCGAACGAAATTAGTCAGAGTAATAATTCTTTGTTTAACAAATTACGAATAAGTTTCTGGATGCATATCCGTAAGTGTTACATTATAATACTTCTTAATTCTTCACACAAGATTGCTAATAGTTCATTTACGGCAGTTAAACTAACTAATATACCGCGAACTGACGGGGGTTTAAAATAATTTCTTCCGTTAGGCGGTTATCATCGTTATTATCATCATTATCATGATTACATCACTGAGGCATGTCCTCACAACGCTAAAGATTGATTACTTCATCGAGGCATGTCCTCGCAACGCTAAAGATTGATTCCATCACTGAGGCATGTCCTGGCCACACTAAAGATTGATTAGATCACCGAGACGCTTTTTCTTCGCAATGATAACTGATTATTTTTGTGTTTATTCATTATGTGTTTTGTTGGGGTAACCAGTTCGCGGTATTTTAAACTCTCAAAGTAAATTGTTTTTAAGTAACCAATCACTTGGATTATGACATAATTTGACATAATGTAAACTCTTTGTTTGAATCATTGATAAAGTGTGGCAAGTATTAATTTCATGTAAATTTTGTTAACTTTGCAATTTTTCACCTTATACAATATTTATCTAGTCTCACAATTTTTAATCTCAGTAATTTTCTTTGTTGTATAATTTTAGTTGAACGTAAATTTCATGCTCTACAGTCTTAATCTCATATAATATTTCATTTGCACAAGTTTATTTTACGCCAGATTTTTGTGTTTATAAATCTTTGCTTATTTTTGATCATGTAAATACTTTGTCGATGAATGTTTCTATCATATAAATTGTCTGATGTCCAATTTTAATCTCATATACGAATTATTTGTTGTTTAAAATTTCACAAGATTGTATGGCGAATTTAATTGTTGTTTATTGCTCTTGTGAAACTTTAACACTTGTTCAGTTGTCGTTAATATCAGAGTCATAAGAAATTGAACATTTAATGGTTCCTTTTGTTAGACGATTGCAACTAAGGCCCAATTTTGAATTTTTGAATTTTTAGAGGGTCTTTGAAATTTTTTTCAAGGTCAATTTAAGGCGGAAAGTTTGGGTTCTCACACAGCAAAGAAAGTAAAAACTGAACATGCCGGCAGAAGAGAATAGTGGTAATTTAAGCAAAGTATGAAGAGAAGTTATGAGAGTCTGTTGTGATAACCCAAACACCCCGTCTTAAAATGACATGTGAAAAAAAAGATTTAAAAGCCCGCGAAAAATTCAAAAAATCATAAATTTGGCCTTGGTTGTGATGGTCTAACAAAATGAAACACTATATTCACAGACTACAGTAGTCTGTGCTATATTGTGTTTTTATTGTGACTGACAAAAAAAAAGCTGCGACTAAGTTGTGCCGGTTGAAGACACCTCTTAATCACTAACGCGTTTCTTGCTCCTTGTTTGACACAGAGATTATCTCTGTTTGACATTTACGGTCGAATCAAAATCCCTATATTTAGAGATTTGTAAAGAGAAAGTTGCACATATGTTGCACAAAGATTTATTTTACGTGTTCATTTTTCTTTTTGACATTTTTTTTTTTGATAAGAAATTGTCTTCTAGCGAAATTTTTGGGCTTGATGATGCTTAACTGCAAAAGTTACGTGCTGCCGGTAGACTCCGCGTGAGCAAAAGCATTATTAATAGACGACGCACGGTGCTAATTTGTTTGTAGCACACATGAACAAACAAAGAACAGACGAAACTGGGCGTTATGTGACCTTCAACTTTGTTATCGTGGTTGTATATGTGCGGAAAAGCGTTTTCTGCGAGCCAGTAACGTCACTAGATGTGGTCTTTCTATCAGTGAGTTAAATTAAGTATTTTAAAAGAAAGTTATATTGTGAAACAACAAAACACAAACGGAATATCGTAATGTGTGAGAACCTGAGAAATTTACAGACGGAACGAATTTTGTTTAAACATTTTAAAAGTATTATTTTGAAATTAATCATAATTCATGCACCGAGAAATAACTGTCCGTCGCTGTAGCAAAGGTAAATAAACAATAAACCCCTGACTCCTCCTTCGTCTCACTCGAGAACGCGCCGTGTGTTCCACAGAACATCCATACCACAGTAGAGATAACAATTGTTATCTCTACTGTGTCCATACTTTGTGTTCGTCATATGTTGGTATTTATCAAGGAATCGCATGTGGCCCGTTCCATCTAGTAACTACTTTAACATCTTTCGGTGTTAATATTTTGTGACAACCTCTTCCAGCAGATGGGTAGCAAATGGATTAAAATTACGCAACGAAAGGAAAGGGGTATCATTGGGATAAGGTAAGGGCTATCCGACGTCATATTCACTCACTGCTTTTCGCCCCAATCGGAAATTTGTTTAGCGCGAAAAAAATTTAGGCTCGCCTAAAAATGTCGAATCAATTTACAGTTTTTACTTCCTAGGAGAGTACTTGTTGTGTTAATAAATGCGAATTGAATCGGAGAATAACGTGTATTTATTAACGTACTATTACAAGTGTGTTTTTACATTTTTCACCTGTCACTTGTCAATGCTAATCTCATGCTAATCTGCATTCTCGGCCACAGTAGATCAGTAACGAAACTTCAGCAATATTTGCGGAACGGGTGTGACCTTGGGAGCCCGTTCCCGGGAAACACGAAGATTCAAATATTTCGTAGCATTCGTATGTGATTCATATAATACTAATAATTGTACACAAAAATAAAAATGGTTGGCATGTACTAGTGACATTGGCCATTTTTTTCTTTCTTATAAATTATTCATATATTCAAGCAATAGATATTTATTTTATTAGGAGTTTAAGTGATACTTTATGTGACCGAGTATGGACGATTAAACGCCGAGCAATGGCGAGGCAAATTAAGTCCATACGAGTCACATAAAGTCACTTAAACTCCGAATGAAATACAATATTTTATTTTCAAACGATTAATCTTCTTTTGAAATGATTATTTCCCATCTTCTTGCTTCATTAAGGAATTGCCTTGATTTCACTTACCATGGTTATTATGGTTGACAACAACTATGATTTTCACATATTTATACTCCGGCGGAGTATAAGTAGTACTTATGCGCCGCTCAAACACGGTGTCATAGAAATGACACTTAAACCCCGATAAGACCGTCATATAAGTGTCAGTTATATGACGTTTGAAAATAATAGATATTTATTTTATTAGGAGTTTAAGTGATACTTTATGTGGCGAGTATGGACGATTAAACGCCGAGCGATAGGGAGGCGAATTAAGTCCATACGAGTCACATGAAGTCACTTAAACTCCGAATGAAATACAATATTTTATTTTCAAACGATTAATCTTCTTTTGAAATGATTATTTCCTATCTTCTTGCTTCATTAAGGAATTGCCTTGATTTCACTTACCATGGTTACTATGGTTGACAACCACTATGATTTTCACATATTTATACTCCGGCGGAGTAGGACACTACATCATTCCCCCTTTTTTTAACAAAATGAAAAGACGAAATTATAATTAGCAAACAAAATCTTTGGTCCACGGAGGCGGTTGCCTTTGTCTCGCGGAACGCCTCTCCGTTGGTTCTTGTTGGATATCTTCCACTGAAGGCTGGATTGGGTTTTCTCCTTCTCGTTCCTTGTTGTAAGGCTTCACACGGGATGTGTTCCTGTGTACTTCACGCCCATCAGGTGTTTCGATAGTCACGGAGTTGCCCAGTTTATTCGTCACTCTACCAGGTTGCGGGAGATACGGTGTCTCTAGTTTGTCGGAAATAACGTCTCTTCTCAGTAGTACTTCATCTCCGATTTCAACTTCAGACGGCCTGCTTCGTCTGTGCGTGTCAGCATATGATTTGCTCGCTTCTTTCTTCTCCAAGTCTTGATCTCGCACCTCGGTGTCGGTAATTGGCTTGAAGAAATTGTTCTGGTAACTAGGTAGTTTATCTCGGAGCTCCCTCCCGAACATGAGATATGCTGGTGTTTTCCCCGTTACGCAATGTGGTGTCGTGTGGTACGCAAACAAGTATTGTCTTAAGGCTCTGATGATGTTTTCTCCTGAAGCTTGCGCTATTCGAAGTCTTTTCAGCAAGGATTTATTTTGTCTCTCGACTTCTCCGTTTGCTTGAGGCCATTTCGGGGTGTTTATTCTCAGCGTGATGCCGTTTTGCAAACAGTAGTCCCGGAATTCAGTGCTTGTAAATTGAGTTCCATTATCTGCAGTGATGTGCTCTGGGAGGCCAAGTCTTGAAAATATTTCCTCCAATTCTTCAATGGTCTTCTGTGCAGTGATGGATGTCATGACTCTTGCTTCGTAGAAGCGGCTATAATAGTCTATAACGAGAAAAATGTATGTATCTCCTTGAAGTGGTCCTAGGAAGTCCATTGCAACCATTTTCCAGGGACCTCCCGGGAGTCTCGTCAGGGTCAGTGGTTCTGGTGGTTGCGCAGCGCTCACTAGCTGGCATCCGTGGCAATGCTTGCAGAATGTCTCGACGTCTTTTTCTATGCCAAACCACCAAACTTTAGTTCTCAGCCGTTGCTTCATTTTGACGATTCCCTGATGACCTTCATGGGCTAATTTTAAGACTCTTTGCGTAATGAAGGCGGAATTAATATTCTTGTGCCTCTAAGAACAACGTCGTCAATGATACATAGTTCTGTTTTGATCAGTTCGTATTTTCGCAGTTTCACTGGATATTTATCTTCTCGAATCGCATCTCTAAAGTCTTGCATCTCCGTGGATTTTTCTCGGATCTCTTCAATGCTCATTGAATATGGAACTGTTTCCTTCGCGACCCATCGGACGTAATGTTCATCGTCGGCGATGTTTGATTTTGTATTCGTGTCAGTTAGCCTGGACAATGGGTCTGCAATCTTTTTCTTGCCTGGTTGGTATATAACGTTGAAGTTATATCCCATAAGCCTCATGACCCATCTTTCTACTCGTGCACAAGGCTTTGATCTGGGTGAGAATATGAATTCTAACGGCTTGTGGTCCGTAATTATATCAAATTCAGCGCCGTATACGTACAGGTGAAACCTTTCACATGCCCATACTAGACTTAGGGCCTTTTTTTCAGTTTGGCTGTACTTCTTTTCTGCGTCTGTTAAGGCTCGACTTGCGTATTCAATAATCTTCTCCCCCCCCCCCCCCAAGCCATACGGACTTGCATCAGCTATGATTGTTGATTTACAACGTGGATCGAAGAATCCCAGGGTTTTGCTCTTCATTAGTTCCCCTTTCAGTCGTTCAAACGCCTTGCTTTGTTCTCTTCTCCATTGGAACTGTACGTCTTTTCTAATCAGTTTTCTAAGCGGAGCAGTTAACGCTGAGTATTCGGGTATAAACTTACTGTAAAATCCTACCAAGCCCAAGAAACTGCTTAGCTCGGTTTTTGTTTTCGGAGCCCGAAAATTTTTGATTGTTTCGATTCGGCTTCTTAGCGGTCGTACACCTTCTTCGCTGATCTCATGGCCCATAAATTCTAATTTCTTCTGTGCTATCTTGCACTTGTCCTTGTTCACTGTTATGCCAGAATTCTCAAGTCGTTTGAGTAGTTCGAGTAAATTTCCATTATGTTCTTCTAGGGTTTTCCCATGGACCAAGAAGTCATCTACATATATTTCTATACCGTGTAGGTCTTCAGCAAGTTATTCCATGATGCGTTGGAATATCTCGGGTGCACAGTTTATGCCAAAAAATAGTCTCTTGAATCCGTAAAGCCCATCGCATGTAGCGAATGTTGTGATTTCTCTGCTACTCTCTTCTAATTCGATTTGATGAAAAGCTGATTTTAAGTCAATTTCTGAAAACCATTTGCTTCCATTTAAGCTCAGAATCAAATCGTTGATCGTTGGAATTGGATGACGTTCTCGGATTATGGCTTCGTTTGCTGCCCTCATGTCGACACACATGCGTAGTTCTTCGTTTTTCTTTGTTGTACAAACTACTGGTGATACCCATCGCGCCGGTTCGTTGACCTTCTCAATTATATCGCTTTCTATTAGCTCCCTCAGTTTTTCCTTTACCAAAGGTCGTAGTAGTATTAACATGCCAAAACAGTGTATAAATAAAAATTTCTATCAAGCGAGAGAGATAATGTTTAGTGAAAATAAATAGGATAACCTTAACTGTGCGATAACAGACTTCACTTATTCTTTCGTCTATGCATTTCACAGCTGGTAGAAGACGAACATTTCGGTCTTTTGCTAGCACCGCCGTGGTCTTTTGTTTCCGCTTGTCTGTCGTCTGTTTTTTAAAAGCTAACCAACATTTGCCATTCGTTCCCATCAAAAATTTGATGGCGCCATCTCAAAATTTTGCGTAGAATTTCAAATCATTTAATTTGATGTGGATACTATAAGTCATTTGTTGTAATAATTCAATAGATAAATGACTGCATATACCAACTTAAATCACCTGCTAACTATAATATAATAATTTTTGATGGGCAGTGCAACATTATTCATAATGTTGGTATCATTTCTGAACAATTAAAGGCCTTTATTTGCCCTAATAAAAATGCAATAATTACGGTAAGAGAATCTAAAAAATAATATCAATAGCAAATAAATTTATAAGAAATTTGGAACTGAACATGAGAATGTGAAGGAAAAGTAAAGAAAATTCGATAAAATTATATGATTTTTTTTCCCAATTTTTAGACAACTTTTTTAAAAGTGAAATTTTCTCAATGGTCTACCCTTCTTCAAAAACGGAAACATTTTGAAATTTTCGAAACTTAACTAAATACATTTTCTTGTAGATTTCGAGCTCTAGAACTCATATTTCCGGCTTCGTTTTTTTGATAACTGCAACCGTTTTTCCAGAATCGACCGTTGAAATATCGATTTTTTTTAATTTCTTGAAATTTATAAAAATTCCTGACGTTAACTGAACGTCAGTTGATGATTTTAAAATCCATATCCATGACATAATAATAATAATAATAATAATATTTTTAATAATTTTCAAGTGTCGGTCTCGCTGAAAATAATACTATTTGTGTAAATTATTAAAAATGATGCACAATTGGAAAGCGAGAAGCGAGTAAGGCAAGAATGCACCGGGCGCACTTCAGACGGGTAGATAGGATGAATAAATTTCGACCGCCTAGCTTTATTTATAAACAACGACGTCACAGCAAAACGCATCTGTGCGTGATGTTCGACGTCCCGCATGCTGTTGAATGCGCCAAGGTCATAAAAAAGGTTATGAGTGCAAAAAATTTATTTACAGCACATTATCAACGAGAATACATGACATCGGAAGAATGTCACGTAGACATTTGTTTGATTGGAATGAGTTTATCGCCCCAAAACAGATGACTAAAATTACTCATAAGCCTCCATTGAACAAAATATACTGAATGTTATTTTATAGTTTTTACCTTATCATTATTTTATTGTTATAAAGACCAGCGTATTCTCATATTCTCCAGAAAATGGGGTGGCTCGCTCTCAATTTGATCAATAATAATATAATTTGACTGATTTATTAATTTTTTTGAATCACCTGTTTAAGCAAATCTAAAAAATATGAATGCAATTATTAAAAGTCTGTTCATATTTTGCACATTTGCGAATGAGATGCCGTAATCAATTTTTTGGGATTGATAAACAGATACATTTTCATTAAAAAGTTGCCATGTTTACAATAACTTCAAAACGTCAAGATTTCAAAGTATGCAGTTTTGCAATTCTTGGTTTAATCAATACAATAAATTGAGTCATTAATTTTTTTCACGCACCCCGTATAAGCAAATCTAAAAAATATTTATGCAGTGATAAATCACAATTATAGACTCTTCATATTTTGCACAATGCACATTTAAGATAGCATTTTTTCGGAAAAATTTTGGGGTGGCCTGATCAATTTTTTAGGGGGGATGAGCAAATATGTTTTGATCATAAACTACATGTGTAAGACTACGTTATTTGATACGATTTAAAACCCATTTACTATGTACAATTTTGAAGTGACGTTATCACATTAGTGGTGGGGATGATTAGACAAATTTTGGTTAGCGTTTTGCCATCTACACGATATACCTAATATAAATACAAAATTTGACAACAATCGGCCCAGTACTTTCGGAGATTATCTGTCTAATAAAAATCCGGGACGGCAGACAGACGGACAGACAGACGGAAATGGGAGACCTATTTCTTCGTCCTCTAGGGGTCATGATAGGTCGAAAAATGAAAAAGTAGAGAGTCAGCCGACGGACTCGTATACAATAGTTTAAGCACCAACATTTACTTTGAAATTTTCTGATGATATAAATTTTTCAGTATTACATTTCATCATGCACTCAAATTCGGACTCGGATAGTCAGGACAATCGCAAGGACAAACAACCGAAAGAAGAAATCAAGCAAAGAAAAGAATGGAAAAAACTAAATGAAGGGATGGAAAAGGTAATTTCAGTTACACAGTATTTTGTTTGATAAATTTAAATCATTGACATTCGCGCTAAAAGTAATTAATATTTTCGCAAGAACTTTTTTGGCTGCACGATTTTTTCTTCTTTAATAGTCGTAAAAAAAGTCGGCGAAAATACCATTCAAGAGATTGCTGCCTTAGCCTTATCAGAACATGCTTCGAAAAATAAGCCGCACATGTAAAAAATTGCATTTCAAGTGGGTTATGACGATTGAATCAAAAAGGATAGTGTACCCCCTTTGTCGAGTAGACATCCCAAAGAGGACTTCTTAAAAAAATATTTTCAAAAAAGCTACAATTTTTACAACCGATTGTCTTTAACAGTTAATAAAGAGACATAGGAAACTAGGAGGAGGACCTATTAGTACAAAAATTCATCTAAAAAGTAACACTAGATCAAAATTTCAGCAGAAATATTAGGTAAATAAGCTTGCAAAAAAGGATGAATATTACGATAATAATCGTCCGGATTATCCCAAATATTGATACTATTCGTTTTAAAATGTAAAAATTTGATAGAGTTGTATATTGTCATTAAAATACATGCAGGTTATCTTTGGGTTTAATAGCGGAATATTTTGTCAAAATTATTTTGTAAAAGAATCATAAAACTTGACAGCTAAAGAGTGATATATAAATTAGTGAATAGTGGGAAAACTTAACCTAAATTAAGGTGAAAAATATTAAATATTTTTAGTGTTTAATGTTACATTATTTATTTTGTTTGAAAAACGTTAACATACATGTTTCAACACTTTTCAGTGCCAGAAGGAACCGTTTTGCACATACAGTAAACTTCCTGGAGATCATAGTAAAGACTTCAAACAAATGATGTGTGCATTTTACGCTTTAAAACTGATTGCTCGTGACGATGTTGAAGATTTTGAAATTGCTACGAACAAGAAGGAAAATGGAAATTTTGGCGATATGGAACTTACAGTTGCGTTCAAAAACGGAAAAAAATGCACTTATCTCTTTCACTTCGAATGCAAAGAAAATGAAGAACCTATCACAATCAACCAACTGACGTCAGAAAAACAACAAAGTGACTTCGACTTACAAAAATACTTTAATTCTATGTCGTCTCTTAACATCAGTGAGAACTCGGTTTGCATTCTTTACACAAACTCTTCTACGTGCATTGAACAAAGTACACAAATATCAGAAAATATTGATCTTAAAATATGCGATGATCATCTTGAATATGAAGATCTATTACTCACTGTCAAACAGACAAAATCATCGAGTATTTATCAAGTCGTACAAAATTTACAAGATAAAAATCGAATGTTTTATTTTTTTACCGAACAAAGTAACTTTGAAAACACTAAAACAAATCTGCAAAAAATGTTACACGAGATGTTAGAGTGTCCCATTTACGACTCTTTCATGCATTTTGTGCATCAATCGTGGTCAAAAAGTTTCATCTTACGTAAAGATGATGTCATTGCGAAGTTAACTGAATTGGATGTTTCATCGTACATCCTAACTGTTAGTGACATTAAACAAAATGAAAAAACGAGGAACCTGACAGAAGCAATAATGAATTTTTTCATAACGATTATGGATTATTCCGATGAAAATATTATCGGAAATATATGGCCGGATGCAGACATTACGGATGATGAGTTTGTAAAAACTAAAGAGAAGTTTGCGTTAGAGAAAACAGAACGCGTTAAAATTTCATGGTTTTTAAATAAAATTCCATTGATTTTAAAAGTAGATGATTCAAATAAAACAACAATCGGACTTGTAATCAGAACATTGAATAAATGTTCCGAAAAGAGAAGAATCGTGTTGGTGGGAAATGTGACAAAAGGTGAATTCGATGGAATGGACGTTTTCCAGAATTTATCAGATCTGATAATCAAAGCCGAAATTGATGAACTTTGCCATAATATCTTACATACTTTTAATATTTCTTTACAAGGAAGAGAACTAATTTGTTTAGAACAACTCATTGCCACTGATAGAGAAATCGCTGAACATGTCAGAGTTCGCGAACTATTGAAAATGTCTCAGACAAACTATATAATCGGAAACGAGAAACAAGAGTTATCTAAATTACACATCCCAAGAAGCGTGTATACTACATTTGTGAAAACTCAGAAAATTTTGAGTATTTACGAATCACAAAAAAACCAAACCGTGGTAGTTATTAACTGCGACCCAACATTTAAAGATAGATTTTTAACACGTAAAAACTATTGTTCTGTAGAAATTGCTGACTACTTTCGCAAAGAGTATAGTGGAAATGATAATGTTATTATATTTTCAACAGAGCATAGGTTAACCCATGCTGAATTTGTTCGCGTTTGTGAAAAATCAAACAAATCAAACGTGTATTTGTTGCAATCATTTGATGCCAAATCTTGTGTCTTACTTTTGGAAAAAGGAAACAAACTACCAAGTGATGTTTTAGATGAATCAAAATGTTTACCAGAAAGGGATATTTTAAAATATCTCGACAACCCACTCAACGCAGTTTGCGCTTCACCCGGAATGGGTAAATCCACATTAATGAAAGGGCTTTCCAATAAGTGTCCTTCACATTATTGGGCAATTTATATCGATCTGCGAAACTGTAATTCATTTTTAGCAAAAAAACCAGATTCAACGGCAATATGCGATTACTTTTTACGAGCTGATGAAGCAAAGGATGAAACAGAGAAACAAATTAAGAATATTTTGCAGAGAAATCAAAAGTTGTATTTATACCTTGATGAATTAGATCAAGTGAACTGTAATTACCTTAATTGTGTCCTAGATTTCATAAAGGAGGCATCGTCGAATGGTGTCAAGGTATGGATTTCGTTAAGAGAGAATTTACGTCAAACAGTATCACACGCATTAAATGTGGTACCCCTGGAAATACGGCAGTTAAGTCGAGAAGAACAAGAAGAATACATGTGTAACAGACTGAAAGAAAAATATGAAACAGAAGAAATAACAAATATCTTAGACGCAGTATTTGCTAGTGTAGACCTTAACAACAGTCAGCAGTTATTAGAAAACCCATTCCACTTACAACTAATCGCAGAAATGTTTCTCAACAATGATGACTTTTACAGAAAATTCAAAGCACAAAACATCTTCCTTTTGACGCAAATGTATGAGCTGTTTTTATTTAGAAGTGTTTCATCTATTCTTAAAAGAGCAGCTGATGAACAAGAAACGTATCTGTCTGGAGATATTAAAATATTACTAAAACAATACGAAGTTATTGCCTTAAAAGCTTGCTTGGATAATAAAGACTTTGAGCGATTACGCGTGGATTTAAAAGAATCACAGGGTTTTATAAATAATTTAAGGAAAAATGGTGACGCGTACGGAATAATCAAAGAAATAAACGAAAAAGGTGAAGCTACATTTGGTCATCGGACGTATGCGGAGTACTTTGCTTGTATCTGGTTAAAAGAGAATAAAGAGAAAGTGGTTTTATTAAAGGATGTAATATTTGCCGAAAAATATAAAAATTTACGACTCATGCTTGACATAATGTTGGCGGAAAACAATCCGTTACATTTATCTATCATTTATAAAAATTTCAAACAATTTGAGAAATACAAACATGAAATAAACACGAAAGATGAAGGTGGTCGAACACCGTGGCAACTTATATGTATGCACGGAATGAAATACCCTGTTTCATGTTTTCAAGATATGTTTCATTTGGTAAGACTTAATCGTGAACTTGATTGCTACGTATTTATGGCAAAGACTGTTGTTCAAGAGCAGAATGACATAATTACTAACAATCATGACGATCTTTTCAATTTCACTTGGTTAAATTATTGCCTTGAAGCAAAATGTCTATATCCAATTGAACTAATTTTAGAACTAAAATTGGTAAAGTTCAGCGATATAAATAAAAAAGTTTATGAATATTATATAGCAGACACTTTGGCATATTACTCAGCTCAGATGGGTTATCCTAACTTATTTTCAGCCGCTATGGCAGAAGATTCAGGGTTGGCACGTCATGAATCTCTACAAAATCTAATGGAAGCGGCAGTTATTGGACCCAAGGACAAAAACAAAAATAGTTCTTTCAAGGCTGACACTTCATTCGAATCCTTAGAGGGCTATAGACGTATAATTCAGTTAGTATTGGAAAGTGGTTTAGATGTAAATGCACGGCTTGAACATGGATTGACAGCTTTCCAACTCTCATGTCGACACGGTAATTATGAAATAACGAAAATGTTGTTAGATTTTGGCAGTTCTGTCAACCTAGTGGACATGAGAGATAACACTGCATTGCAATGTGCAGTGGAATTACAGAAAGTGAATCTAGATATTATAAAATTGTTGACTGAGAAAGGCGTCGACGTAAATGCACAAAACAAGTTTGGAATGACAGCTTTACAACTTGCATGTCAACAGGGTGTTTATGAAAATGCAAAAATGTTGTTAGATTTTGGGGCTTCAATTAACATTGCAGACAAGGACAACAAGAACCTGTTGCATTATGCATCATGGAAAGACAACAAAGACATAATAAAAATATTGATTGATAAAGGTATCGACGTAAATGCGCAAGACAAACTTGGAAAGACAGCTTTACATTTTGCTTGTGAACAAACTATTTATGGGAATGTTGAAATGTTGTTAAGTGTCGGTGCCTCCATTAACCTTGCGGACATAGAAAACAGGAACGTGTTGCATTCTGCAGCACTGTCGTGGAAAGACAATCGCGACGTAATGAAATTATTGCTTGAGAAAGGCATCGACATTAATGCGCAAGATAAAAATGGAGCGACAGCTTTACAACTTGCTTGGACAAGAAGTGTTTGCGAAAATGCAAAAACGTTGCTCGATTTTGGTGCTTCAACAGACGTTTTAGACCACAACAAGCAGAACGTGTTACATTACGCATCAAAATCGTGGAATGCTGATCCAGATTTAATCAAAGCAATAATTGACAAAGGCATTGACGTAAATGCGCAAGATGGAAATGGAACGACCCCTTTACAAGTTGCATGTAAAAATGGTAACTACGAAATTACAGAATTATTGTTAAATTTTGGCACTTCGATTAACATTGCGGACAAAAGAAACAAAAACGCGTTCCATTATGCAGCAGAATCCTGGACACCCAATCGAAGTAAAATGAAGCTATTGATCGAGAACGGCATCGATGTAAACGCACAAACTGAAACTGGAACGACAGCTTTGCAACTTGCTTGTCAAAATGGTGATGCTGAAATTGCGGAAATGCTGGTTAAATCCGGCGCTTCTGTTAACATGTTGGACAAAAACAACGAGAACGCGTTGCATTATGCATCAAAATCGTGGGCACCGAATCGATTCCGAACGAAACTGTTGATTGAGAAAAGCAAAGACGTGATTGATCAAAATAAAAGTAAAGGAACGGTTGTCAAGTTTCCGTGTCGCAGTACTGAATTCGAAATGTCAGAACTGGTGTTAGATCGTGGCATTTCCATTAGCATTGTGGACAAAAACAAGTACGGGTTGCATTCTGCATTAGAATTACGTGGAAACAACCAAAATATAATAAAATTGTTGACTCAGAAAGGCATTGATATTAATGCTCAAAATCAAAATGGAACAACGGCTTTACAACTTGCTTGTGCAAAACATAGTCATGAAATTACAGAAATGTTGTTAGATTCCGGTGCGTCCGTTAACATAGTGGACAAAGATAACAAGAATGCCCTACATTATGGATTGGAATCGTGGGAAGACAATCGAGATATAATAAAGTCACTAATTAAAAAAGGTATCGATGTAAATGCACTAAATAAAAACGGAACGACTGCTTTACAACTTGCTTGTGAAAATAGTGATTACGAAATTGCAGAAATGTTGTTAGATTTCGGTGCTTTTCTTACCATTACGGATAAAGATAACAGGAATTTATTGGATTATGCATCCGGATCACGGAAAATAACTCGCTATAGAATAAAAGTAGTGCTTCAGGAAGGCAGTGTTGAAGATGCACAAGGTGTAGATGAAACGACAGATGCACAACTTACGTACCGAAATGTTGATAGTGAAAGTACAGAAGTGTTCTTAGATTCTGGTATTTCGGTCAGTATTATCAATACAGACAATAGGAACACGTTGCGTTATATTTCAGTAGCGCGAAAAACCAATCAAGATATAATAAATTTATTGACTGAAAGAGGCAGAGGCGTATATATGCAAGAAGAAAACGGAGCAAGAGCCTTACAGTGCGTGGATGAAAATCCCGAATGTAGTACAGAAAATCACCAACAACAGTGACCGTATTTCTTGGTGTAAAAATAAAATATGTTGTAAAAAGTTTTCTTCAACGTAAGAGATTGACACATACTCGTATAGCAATTTATTTATTCTAGGCTTAATTTTAGGTGGAAACTAATTCAGTTGTGTTTGATATGGACAGTCCACTTCACATTTGGTAAAGCAAGTAGATGAATGTTCTCGTCCTTAGCAACAGTTGTCCCAGTTGATGGATTTATTTATCAAGTTGTAACCATGGCCTAATAGTAATAATATAATAATTTATATTTACCTATAATAATTCCGATTCAGTTTAACTCGTACCATAATTAATCAACTGGAATGGGTTTGACTAAACTCTAATTCTCTGATTGACTGGATTAGACTGGCCGTTCCTGGCGGTGGTCCCTACTTAAACAGCCACACGATATTTTGAGATTGAGGTTGTTCTGGACTGCCCATCCCGACTTCCACTTCCAGATTTTTCTTTATTCGAGCGCTGCCATCGGTGATGAGGAGTCATTGGTCCGCCGCACATACTAGAAAACCAATAGGCGGCGTACCAGGGCGACGTATGGATTTATTTCGGAACAGTACTTACAAACTAAAAGAAAAAAGTGTAAACTCATTAAAGAGCATTAAAAAATATTTTCAGTCAATAAAACATATTGTAGGCGACGTCTATCTGATACTTCTTATCAAGTGCAGGAGATACAATTTTTCAGTAAACTTCCATAAATCTGTAGACGTAGATCTACCCTTAACAAAGTCATGCTGATGAATATCAATGACTGGTGAAACATATCTAAGCAAATATATGGGTTGACAAATTGACGCTATGGGTCTATAATTTTACTGTCCGCTTGCTTTCCATGATTAGATTAAATAAATAAGTGCGTTAGGGGCCATGCCTCCCCCCCCCCCCCCCCCGGCACTCGGGGCTTCCCATTGCTCACTACCCAGTCTGTACAATTCATTAGAGGTAAAAAATAGAGTGCGTCGACTCAGGGTGTTTTAACTCTGCGTTGTCAATTTATATAAATTAAACACGTATACGAAGTCATTAATTTTCTCTTAAAAATAATAAAAACCAAAAATATGTCGCATTTGCAAAAAAAATTAAAGTACAATGTGTAATTTACCAACTAAGTAACAAGTAAATATTTCCAAATGCTAGAGCAGTATTTATAACTTATTCGATTTAAGATACAAATTACTGTTCAACCATAGCGTTATCGCCTTCGATATCTTTATCCCTATCATTTAATACAGTTATTCGTGGCCTATGATGACTAAAATGAGTGATATAAATATCAGTTCTTAAAAGTAATAAAGCGTCTAAAAACTGCATCAATTGTTGCAAATAATTTAGTCGTTGGAATAGTCAAACGAACACATTTTATTAAATAGTTCGATCACGCCCACGCTACTCTCGCGCTCCCACTCCACTCCGCAACCTCGTTCGAGTCGATAGTTATTACCGCTGCGAACAGGAGGTGCTACCCGTCAACGCGTACGCACACTAATCGCCTCACCACAATGTACCTGATGCAAGAATAATTCGTCAAGCAACTTCTGCACGAAGACAGAGTTCCGAGAGGTATCTGTTCATCACTGCTGCACGTTGTGGTCAAAATACTCTGGGAATTCTGGCAGTGGGTGTAGGTTGTGTTCTCTTAGAGCATCCGGGTTCTAAGAGACAGAATCAGCACTACTCCCTGAGGCGTTTCATGTACCATATTGTTTGATAGTTTATTTCTCTCTCTCTCTTTCTTTCCTTCTATAACGCGTTACATGTCGATGTTCAACCTCGGTTCAAACCGGTCTCGGTGACCTCGACACCGACACCGAGCTCGTAGTTGGACCTCGACATCTTATTCCGGCGCGTATACGTGTTCTATAATACGACAAGAAAGGAGTTAAAACTCCAATAAACTGGTAAACAACGACTGAGAACTAAAGTTTGGTGGTTTGGCATGGAAAAAGACGTCGAGACATTCTGCAAGCATTGCCACGGATGCCAGCTAGTGAGCGCTGCGCAACCACCAGAACCACTGACCATGACGAGACTCCCGGGAGGTCCCTGGAAAATGGTTGCAATGGACTTCCTAGGACCACTTCAAGGTGATACAAACATTTTTCTCGTTATAGACTATTATAGCCGCCTCTACGAAGCAAGAGTCATGAAATCCATCACTGCACAGAAGACCATTGAAGAATTGGAGGAAATATTTTCAAGATTTGGCCTCCCAGAGCACATCACTGCAGATAATGGAACTCAATTTACAAGCACTAAATTCCGGGACTACTGTTTGCAAAACGGCATCACGCTGAGAATAAACACCCCGAAATGGCCTCCAGCAAACGGAGAAGTCGAGAGACAAAATAAATCCTTGCTGAAAAGACTTCGAATAGCGCAAGCTTCAGGAGAACACATCATCAGAGCCTTAAGATAATACTTGTTTGCGTACCACACGACACCACATGGCGTAACAGGGAAAACACCAGCATATCTCATGTTCGGGAGGGAGCTCCGAGATAAACTACCTAGTTACCAGAACAATTTCTTCAAGCCAATTACCGACACCGAGGTGCAAGATCAAGACTTGGAGAAGAAAGAAGCGAGCAAATCATATGCTGACGCGCACAGACGAAGCAGACCGTCTGAAGTTGAAATCGGAGATGAAGTACTACTGAAAAGAGACGTTATTTCCGACAAACTAGAGACACCGTATCTTCCGCAACCTGGTAGAGTGACGAATAAACTGGGCAACTCCGTGACTATCGAAACACCTGATGGCCGTAAAGTACACAGGAACACATCCCGTGTGAAGCCCTACAACAAGGAACGAGAAGGAGAAAACCCAATCCAGCCTTCAGTGGCAGATATCCAACAAGAACGACAAGAACCAACGGAGAGGCGTTCCGTGAGACAAAGGCAACCGCCTCAGTGGACCAAAGATTTTGTTTGCTAATTATAATTTTGTATCTTTTCATTTTGTTAAAAAAAAAGAGGAATGATGTAGTGTCCTAATGTACCGACATGTACGGCCGGGAATGCAGATTAGCATTGACAAGTGACAGGTGAAAAATGTAGAAACACACTTGTAATAGTACGTTAATAAATACACGTTATTCTCCGATTCAATTCGCATTTATTAACACAACAGAAATACACACAGTTGAGGAGCTACGAGATCGTATTTTTAATGCCGCTAACCAAATTCGACAGCAGCAAGGGCTCTTGTCCTGTGGCAATTCCTGGATATATATGTAATTAATTTTTATACAGGCATCTAATTGTGAAATTGGTATACTACCTTTATCTATAAAAAAAGAGATTCAATTTCGTTTTTCTACACACATTCAATTCTACCCAGTCTATAGAATTTATTCTTACCAAATAAAACTGAAATTGTGTTACAATTTATCACATTTTGTCTATCAATATGCATGTCATCTATTAATGTTGCCGCTGTTATTTATTACTCTATTTATTATTTAAAGTCGATACCAATGTTATTTACATTTATACATATTGGCAAACCACGATTTCTATTTCCATTTGTTACTTCCGAAAAAAAAATCTGTAAAGTTCACTTCCATATTTTCTTCTTGAAAATCTTGAACTTTCTTCTCATTGATTTCGTCTTCAGCAATTCAGACATGTTTTTCTAAATTCCGGACAATAACAGATTGAAGTTTCTAAATGGCTTTAATTGTTAAGTTTCTCATGTTGAGCTTCGGTGTGGCGTGGTTACTACTTACTATAATGATGCTTCAGGTATTTCTGCCTGCAAGGGCGACAGCGGTGGAGGTTTGGTGTCTAAATTCAGAAAGCGTTATTACATCGTTGGAGTTGTAAGCATTTCACCACACGCCACAGAAGGTAGTTGTGATAGTCAACAATATACTCTATACCCCAGATTTGGCTATTATATTGAGAAATTTATATTAGAAAAAGAGGCCCGATTTAGGCCGTAAGTCCTAACAACTGAAATGTTTAAATTGTTTTAATTATTTTAAATTTAGTCGTGTGGACTGTCCAGACGTTCTTAATTGTAACAACGACACCTCAGTAACTACACCACAACCAACGACAGAAAAGGTTACCACCGAATCATCTAGCAGGTATACTAGTTTTGATGTTACAATAACAAATATTTTGACAAATACAATAATTAATGCAGTTATTGTATTTTACCAAACCATCCCGAATTTGGGAAGTGGATCGTCGTTGGAGCAAGTGATGAACTTCAGCCTGGAATAGCAGTTGCATCGGATACTGTATGTACTTTGTAACATTGTAGTCTACTCTGAACACTAAAAAATTAAAGAATGTATTTTGATTTGTTATAAACTTAACAATGAATGCATGCATACTAAACCAATAATCAGAATTTATCTGTTAATAAATTTGCAAAATCAAGTTGTATAATTTATCTAAAATATTGGAGGTGTTAAATTGGCTGGACCGAGGCGAGGAAAGTTCTGTCTAAATAACTTCAGATTAGTATTTTTAACAGTTGTTGGCAAAAACATATGTAACGCCAGAAATATTGAAGTAAACAAAATAAATCTGAAATTATAATCAGAAAATGTACACAGATTAAAGGAACAGCTGACAAAATTATAGTATTGTAGTATTTAATATTTTAGTCAAATAACTGCCAGCTTCTAGTCATTTTGGTAGGTATACGCACTGGTTTTGGATTTCAGCAACATCCAAAATTTTATCCGGTGGTCATGTAGGTAATCTTGTTTCTGCAAATTTATTATAAAAAAAGTTTTTAATCAATCTTCCTGTTCGCTGCGGACGGAACGTAGGTATAGTTACAGTGTTTACACGATCGGTGGATGTGGATAGTGGTTTCAAGATAATTTCTTCAGGAAATAAAACATTGTATTTCGTAGCCTTGACTGATGTCAGTGTAATTTGAACTACTCCGCCCACAATGATTACCTCATTTTTGATGAAAACTTCTGTGACGATCAATTATTTTTTCCAATGTATTCTCTTTACAAATTTGTTTAACAAGGTAAGATTCACTTATTGAATCTTCCCCACACACTTGTACGCCCTAATTCATTTATCTTTTTGTGAAGTCTTTATCATTCTTCAAACCGTTGCCAGTACGGACCATACTTAGCATCATCGATGGATGTTTATAGTGTACCTATTCTAGTCGACGAACATGTATAGGGTTACCCCCTGCTGAAGTGAAAAATCCGGTATCAAACTGTTAAAAATCATGATTTTTCAAAAAAAGTCCGGCTTTTATTAAAAAAAAATCCTTCCACATGCAAAAAAAAATAAATATTGACAAATCTTCCACAGCTCTGAGACTTGAGTGATATTATTATATGCATCGAACAATGTTTTGTGCTAAGAAAATTTTTTAGCAAGCAAAACTGCAAATAATTTTACATCTTTGTTTTACAAAAACATAACACTGTCTATGATATTGTAAGCTCCTGATTTTTCAATAACAGCCATTCAAAACATTTGAAGGTATCAAAATACTTCATGTTTTTTTCTCGTGCCTCTTTGTTACATGCTAACCAAAAGTAACTTCTATAAAAAGTTATATAAAACTGGAATTTATGTTGAATAAATATTAAACAATTAAAGAACTTGTGCTATAAACGGTGTATTACTTCATGTCCTATATACATGGCAGTATTGTCAAAATGATGTTCTGTAATTTTACTCAGCACTTTATAGGCAAGATCCCTAAGTTTGATTTCATAAAGAAAGTGAAAGACGCTTATAGTAAAATCGAAACTGTTCATAATGTAGAATGGAATAAATTCCCAAAAGAGGGGTCATTAGACCTTCTGAGTTATTTCTTTACCTGTATTTCATAGTTTTAACATTTCGATTAGCCTTACTTATTTGATTATTCATTTTTATGTAGGTATATAAGATTCCAAAGCTGTATCTATAGCGATTCCAAAGTTAAGGTAAGGAGGAGGAGACTTTAAAACAGTATATCACTCGTCAACACTCCTAAGATCTTATCATAGTTACAATCTTGTTCTTCCAAAAAGCACAGCATGTATGACGTTAGGAAATAGTCCTTACTTGTATTTCTGGAGTTATCTTAACCTTTTGAATTGATTGATGTTTTTTGCCTTTTAGAAAAACTAAAATATTTTGGTATTTACGATATCTGTACATATACCTACTTGGTTCCAGAGCTATTTATGTTACTGAAGGCATCAAAATATCCAACACTACAGAAGTTACTAATGGAGCCTTAGGCTCTGTACGTGCACCACTTTTGTTCTCTCTTGTTATAGCGAGTCTACAGAACGTACTAATGTTCTGTAATTTTCACTCTTATGCCGATGATGTCTAACTTCATTTAAGCTTTCGTTGAGAAAACAAATATGTGGTTGAAAATTAGAATAAAAATCTGAATTGGATTTACCAATGTAATTCCCTAGATAGATACATTTAGAAATTTTATTTCGATTGACATAAAAATCAAATGATAACATTTGCATTTACTTTCTTTAATTGATAATCAAAGATATAGTGGTCTAATTAGCATATTTGCTGCTTTGAGACTGTAGTTATAACCATGGAAATCACTCCACTTTAACGTGGACTTGAACCGATAGTCGACACCAGGTTTAGGCTTAACATAACGTCCGGTTAAGAGAGTGTAATAACAATTTCTAAACCACCAACCAGTTTCTACAAATCATTCTATGTGTATTATTTCTGAAGAACCCAAGCAAAAACTTACCAAAGTAAACCGCACATGATTCTTTGTCATCATTCTCATCTTGATCTCGATCGAGTGCACTAAATTTGATTCCAATGTGATGTTTAAATGAATCTCCAGCATCACCAGTGTAGTCCCCCAAACTCTGTACTACATACCCTGTAGATTCGTTACCTATTTTAAAATCATCATAAAGCGCGGAAGCGTTTTTCATGTCCCAGTCAACTAGTTCAATTAATAGTTCATTACGCTGACTATCTACATAAAAAAATGTCTAAATATAACAAACACTGCAACAAAACACTTACTCGTTAACTCATATAGGTGATCCAACCCTAACCAGTGTTCTCCGGTAAGAGTTCCAAACCCAGTTTTGTAATCAGTCCAGTTTAATTTGAAGTTTACGGATCCATCAACTCGATCTAAAACTGAAACCCACCCACCACCGCGTGTCAACATATTGCACCAAACCAAGAAAGAATCGTTTGATAGCTTGGGTTGAATGCGATAAATTCCAGATACGTTGTAACCTCTTTCTTGAACGTCTTTGCAGTCTATCGGCAAATTTTGGCACCCGTGGATTTCAATGGTGAAATTATCTATGTTTTCTTTTAACTGACTCCTGAAGAAGTGAACCTCTTCATCTAGAGTTCGTTTATTACCCAACTGTTTTTCAACGTTTATTAATTTTTCTTTAATTTCGTTGAGGGTTTGTTTTCCAACTTGACTCGTTATTAATTCTTTCACTTCCGTTAACTCTTGTTTGATACCATTATTCGTCTCAGAATCAGGGACATCAGATTTGTTTTCTAAAAGTCTGTTGACATTTTGATATTCTGCTTGCAGTGACTTTATATTTCCATCAATTGTTTTTATATTATTTTCTATTTTGGAGTCGACCACATTTAATTTATTTTCTAAAGCCTTTTCCATATCTTCTATCTTATCTTGTAGATAATTCATGCGTTCGTTTAGTGTATTCAGGGCGCTACGAACTTCTATTAAAACTTCAAGTTCAACGATGGGCGTCTGCAATTATGTAAAATAACGTAACAACAAGGATGGGAATGCATTTCTAGTTTATGTGAGTTATATACTTTTTTTCTACTACTCTCGAGTTGTTGCTTTTTTTTAGATAATTATATTAATTCCTTTTGTACGTTTAAATGCACGGACTACCGTACAAGCTAACTACTGCATAATGAGTTGATTTCTTACGACTACCTGACAATGGTAGAAAAAAAATTGTGTACTCTAGCATAACTGCATGACTTACGCTGTTCTCACAACTTCGTTGTAGAATTATGGTATTTGGAAAGAGGAGCATGAGAAACAGGGACACCTTATTTGGAAGCATTGTCTGTAATAAATTACCTCATATGATTTTTTCTATGATTTTAATATTAAGCCTTTTAATTTTAGTAGTAGCTAATGACTTAATAAAAAAAGACACTGGTTTAGCAATGAGTTAATATTTTTTAAAATTGCTTAAAATACAAAAACAAGTCCAATTTACATGACTAACTATACAGCGATTATGTACAGAATAATTCCGACTTGACCGAAATGGATTTGACTAGACTTCTTCCATTGTTTGGACTACACTAATTGCTTCAGACGGTGGTTCCCATTTAAACAGGCCCGCGGTCCTTCTCGAAGGTCTCTGTCACCGCTTCTAGGCTTGTTTTCGAACACCCGTCGCGACATCCGCTTCCAGGCTCTTTTTCGGCCGCTGTCACCGACAATGAGTCATCATCGCCGTACATACTAGAACCCATAGGCGTCGTACCGGGGCGGCGTATGGGTTTATTTCGTAACTATACTACTTTTATAAATGTATTAATGCAGATAATAAATTAGACAATAAATAATTTGTTCTAAAAAAATCTGTATTCAATATTCATCAAAATTATGGCTACTTATTGATGGTACTGCTTTTCCGCAAGTTATGTTCCAATGCAAAGTCTTTAATGTTGTGACAATATTTTTAAAACTTGGTAATAAGCTGCGTTGAATATAGTTAATTTTTATAAAGTTTTTTTCGACATGTGTCGTGTTCTTTTATTCGGAAAAAAATGTAAAAGTGCGCTTTTTAACCTACCTACCTTGTTCAAACTGTTGTGACACAACTAATCCATGCTTGGTTTGTCGTGTTGCGTTTCCTCTATTATTATTTTTTAAAGAAAACCGGTTAACAAAATGTGTAGAAAGAATGTGATGCTCGTGGAAAATACGCAAACAAATATAATTACAGGTCATCAAGTATGTTGCGCTCGATGTTGCGTGTCAGAGTAGGCATAATACTTCATTCAAACATGAGTAATTATATTAATTAATGATTGCAAGTTTTATAAGTACATCTACAGAACTTTTTAAATATTTTATAAGCAGTTATGTTTCTCGACTTGTCGCGGGTTTTGGAAAAGTTAAGTGCAAATTTTTACATGGTTACAAGTATATTTATTTTTGAAACTATGAAGTGAAGTTGTCATGTATTCCACTTTCCGTGAAATTTTTTTATCAAGGTTAAGGTTAACTAAAGAAAACCGCATTAACATCAGTGAATAGATAACTACAATTAAAAATTGCGATAAGAATGTGCTTTTCATTATAAAATAATTGTACTATGACTTTAAAGAATGAAGTTGTAATGTGTGGCTTTTATCGTTAGACCACTGGACTTTCCGGTTCGTTTATAACTCTCCTACACATTGTGGTAAATCCAAACCAACAAGCTAAAAATATTTACTTGTTTATGAAGTAATCATTCACACAATTTGAAGCTTTCGTTAAGTTATCACTTCATAAATCACAATGTGCCGTTGTATTTTTTTTAATGCTTTAACTTTACGTTAAAAGTACAGAATTATCGTGTTCCGGACAAAATATCTTGTTTATATTCAAAATGTGCAGCGATGGCCTGTTTTTGATAAAAATTATTGGTTTGTGTGTTTTAGGTAAGTAGGTACCTAATTATGTTAAATATTATACAGTAACTGTTTTCCTAATTGAAAATTTTTATTTGTATTGTTCCTTCAGTAATTAATTCTAATTGCTCTCACCACACTGATGCAAACCATACCAGAATAACGCCTCAGGGTCATAACAATAGGTACAAAAATTTCAAAATCATGCTCATAATTAAAAATAAAATTTCTTGGTCAGATGTGTTCTTCCATCACACCCCAAATTTGGTAGATGGGTTATTTATGAAGCCACTTCTTATTTATTCCCTGGAGAGTTCGTACCATCTCGAACAGTTTTAGAACTAAAGTGTCAGGAAAGTTATAAACTTTCTGGATTAGATATGGCCACTTGTATTCGTGGAAAATGGAAACCCCAAATTGGAAAATGTTTACGTAAGATTTTTTTATACAGGGCGTCCTATATTATGTAACCTATGTATGGTGAGACGACGTAAAGAGTAAGCTGAATTATGTAAAACCTTTTCCTTTTCAAGCTATACACTTTCATAGCGATTTTTTGGTAAACAATTCAACTAAAATAAAGTAAACTGTTTTATAGAAGCATTTTGCTTTTATTTACGTACTTATATAGTATTTTTAGTAATTTGAAACTGGTCGATACGAGAAAAAAATTAAATTTTATTAGATAGACGTGTGAAACGATATATAACAACTCCCACAAATTTTAGTAATGATAAATTTTGATCAAAAATATGGTTGAATTAATAAACCGAACCTCTAGACATATTATATTAAAGATTTTAAATTGAATTTACTTACCAAACTGTTGAGATGGCATCATAAAAATGTTGGTAGGGATAGATAGTGCGGTCACAGACTACACAGACAAGCCACTGCCCCACCACTGACAAACGAATATAGTCTTTAATTCAAGAGTCCAAACAGTCGATTTCAATTATTTTGCCCTTGAACACAGGAAAATGACGGTTTAGGTAAGGATGACCTTGATTCCGCTTAAAAATTTGCAAAATACTGTAGTGGCTATCCTGTTTAGTGGAAACTTTTAGGAGAATGTAACTAGAAAAACTAGAATTTTGACACTTCGGGTCAGAGATATTGAATATAAGTACATATATACATTTAAACCTCCTTGCTTTGGGTTGACAACATAACCACATTTAACCTCAAAATGGGTCCGACCAAGACGTGTGAAGTGCAACGCACTCCTGTGAGTCCTGCGGCGACAGAATACACAATACAATACAATATAATCATTCACTCACTTTTAAAAAATGTATAAATTTAATTAATAGCACTCATAAATTTTTTAGCTTGTTCATGTTTTTTTTTTGACTATGAACGTACGTACGAACGCCTTTATTGTTTTAGTAAGTTAAACATAATATGACTTCTGCTGATGTATTTTTTTAACATTATGTTGGCTTTTATCCGAGATTGTGTTGTAAAGTGGCAGTCCTCGCGTTTAAAAATCGCGCGTATGAAGTGACGGTTGAGGTAAGTCGTCAATAAGGGTCACGTTCGCTCAAAGTGGGTATGTGGCTTGTCTGTGTAGTCTGTGGTGCGGTGGTCTTGTCGGCTCGTTTCCATACTTCGTTTCGGTCGAGTTGTTGTTGATGACCGTTGTCGTACCCAAATTGGCTATGACCGAGCATTTGGACATTAACAAAATTATTTATTTCGTATTTAGGTGTAGGCACATTTACTTGGAAATGAAGAGCTAAACTGTAATTGGGGAAAGAAGCAATACTTTATTAAATGATGAGAAATAAAAATAATAATGAAATACTTTCTAGAAAAAAGAACAAAGTAAAAATATGGGATTAATCATACTTCAATCCTTAAAAATTATGAATAAAACTTACGTAATCTAACAATTAAGTATGTAACTCATTAACCAAGTGAGATGCCATACAAGGTGATTTAGAAATATATGCAATAATTTTAACCACGGCATCACGTATCGTAGTAGCGTGGAAATATAGAAAAAACAAATTAAAAATCGAATGGGGCAGCGATTTTCCCAAAAAACTGAAAGGGAATTGAATAACAACTTCATACACTACTGAAAACAAATTTCAAGAAATAAACCTAAATTTTATTAAACAAAATTAACGAATTCTTAAGCAACAATGGATAATAATAGATACTTTCTAAAAAAATATTACTCCGTGACCATAAACACGCAATTTTTTTGGAATAAACACGACGGGATCTATACCCTGAATTTTTTCAGAATTTTTAGATGAATTTTTCAAAAAGGGCATTTTCCATTATGTATTCGTATTACCTCCATGATGCAAATTTCGACCCATTCTTGACGATTTTAGAAATTTAACTAAATGCCTTTTCTTGTAGATTTTGGGCCTTAGAAGTCACTTTTGGCTTCATTTCTTCAATAACTTAAACCATTTTTCCAGAATCGTCCAGTTGAAATATTGCAATTTTTAAAAACTTCGAAAAATTCGAATTTTAAAGCGAATTTTCCGAAAATATTGCTCCGTTACTATAAACATGCTATAATTTTGGCATCAGCACGTCGGGATATATATATATATATATATATAATTTTTTCAGAATTTTTAGGAAACTTTTTCAAAAATGAAATTTTCCTCATACAAATTTCGACCCATTTTCGACAATTTTCGAAACTTAACTAAATATTTTCTCTCATAGATTTCGGGTCTCATTTCTTCGATAACTTCAACCTTTTTTCCAGAATTAGTTAATTAATTCCGTTCATTGAAATATCGTAATTTTAAAAAATTTCAAAATATTCCATACAACATGTGCAGAAAGATCTTGCGTCATTTTTGCAAGTAGGTGCATGTTTTCAAGTTCAGTTCGGATTGCACAGTTTTGTTCGGATTACTGGATGTTCAGATAATCGTAGTTCGGTTTATAGAGAGTGTACTGTAATTACAAAATGAAATGCGATTTCAAAATTTTGAAATTGGTCAAAATAAAGTACCTCGGTCGTGCGTCAGGGGGGGGGGCAATTGCACCCATTGCCCCCCCCCCTGGATCCGCGCCTGCTCGGAGATGCTGTACCACTGATGCAAATGTTTGCGTACACCATAAAGCATTACCATATCGACACACTCTGTTTCGTGTTTTTGAACGTTTCTTATCAATCACTTTTTTGGTTCTTAATCCGAGTCGTTTTGTGCCATTGAAAAAAGTAGGTCAAGAAACACTACCAGCGGCGTGTATAAGAATTTATATTTAAGGGGCCTCGCTAGACGAGGTATAACATTTTTTTGTTTTTTTGTATGAAAAAATGATATTAATATAGATGTATCATACATCAAACTGCAGCTTTTTTCATATTCTAGAGCGCAGAGACCAGTTCAATCAACTAAAAAAATATGGCTGAGAAATATCGTAAAAAAAGCACCATTGTATGTTTTTTTTTCAAGTTTTTTGAGTCATAACCATCATAGAATCGCTTGAAAATTTGCACATGGATAAAACATCACTTTTTACAGGGCGCAGAGTCATTAAATGTTTGTTAGTGGTACAATTTGTTTAAATAATAATGTGTTTATTAAAATCAAAATATACCACAAATTAATGCAAAATACGCCGAATAATTTTAACAGGAATATCAGAGGAAAATTAATGATCTATTGGTTAGCAGAGTTTTTAACAAAAACTAACAATTATTGAAAAAAATGGGTATCAATTCGACGGAATTTGAGCAGTTAGTTCAGTACTTTGCCGATAGGAGCGTCACTAAAATTTACGGAAGCGACTTTCCAGGTAAAATCCTTATCGCCTGCTTTACCATAAGCTGATTGTTAGAGTTCTCGGCTGATTTTTCTAATTTATGGCAAGGAACTCAGTTTTATAACAAACCGCCAGGACCGGCCGTAGTAATCTATTGTTAAAGAAATTAACTTTTACGCAATGAGGTACTATCATAAAACCGAATTAAAACTGGAGAACTATAATATTTTTACTCCACTCAGGATCCTGAATTACTAAAAATTCATTGTAATATTATTGTTAATATATATTTTGCTTTCTTAATTAATAAAACTAATAAACATATTTATAATAATAATAAAAAATATATAAAATACAGCTTTTGTTTAACACGTATAAGTAGCTAAGTGTATCTACTACTTATCCCAGAATATCCTAATAAATTATTAAAGTACATAAAAAAATAGAAACAAATTTTATTTATTTTTAAAAAATCTCTCGCAAAGGCAGGTTCTTCTTTCTTCTTGAATCAATTATTTCGGGAAATAAAGCGCCAAAGCAAAATCTGCCAAGTTTATCTGCCATCTTTTTACATATATTTCTTCATCTTTATAAATTTTTTCTATATTTATTCCTTTGGGTGTCCATACAACAAAATAAACTTGTGAAATACCCGTAACAAGCATTTGTCCCTGGACTTGAAAGCAGTAATCATGATTCTTTTTTTAGTTTCAATACTCTGTCAATGTACAAAATTTGATTTTTTTTTTCTAACCGCTTCTTCGGGAGACAAATCTTGCGATTTTGAAGGGCATTTAATTTCGACTAATGCACTCCCATCCTCTAGAACCCTGTCTGGACTAGCAGCCAAGTAAGGAAATTGTTTTGAAATAAACAAGCCACACCATTCAGTTTTTATATTTTTATTTATTTCAAAACACTGGACAGCTTTTTCCTCACTTTGCTGTCCATAGTATGTATGACTGTTACCTCTAAATGTACTGTACAACAGAGACTCCACAGTTTTAGCTATTGCTGTAGTCGGTCTAAGTTTGTAAATACGTCCAAAATTTGAAATCGTAACCCTAATTTCTCTTTCTTTTACCCAAATGTGCCTGTTGCCTATTGTCTATTTCAATTTGGTCTAATAAATTCAAAGATAATTTTCTCAAAAAAACCTCTTTGGCTGTCACAAATGTTTCTACATTCATGACAAGATTTTCTAAAAAATATTTAAACCATAATCGCAGTCGGGACCAGCATACGTAAATTTTTTTACGACATATTTTTTTACGAATACTTTGTCTAAGACGAGCTTGTTTTATAGACGAGCAATATTTTTTTGTTATTAAACCAAGACCGTTTTAATCACAGTATATTTACTTATCCCCGCTAAAAAATTGATGACGTCACCTCAAAATTTTGCTGAATAAATCCTATCTAAATTGTATAAAATATGATGAGTCTCTTCTTGTGATTTATCATTCCATTCATGTTTTTTGGATTTGCGTATACAGGATGACCCCAAAAATTAATGAATGCGTAAATTTATTTTATTGATTTAATCAGGAACTACAGAACCGAATGCTTTGAAATCTTGCAGATGTTTTAAGGTTATAAAGAGCATAATACATTTTTAGTCAAAATATATTTGTTTATAACCTCCAAAAAATTGATGACGTCAGCTCAAAAGTTTGCTGCATAATCCTATTTAAAGTTTATAAAATATGATGACTCTCTTCTTGTAATTTATCATTCCATTAATATTTCTTGGATTCGGATATACAAAGTGACTCAAAAAATTTAATGACTGCGCAAATTTATTTTATTAATTTAATCAGGAACTACAAAACCGAATGCTCTGAAATCTAATGTGAAAAAAAACATAATAGGCATGCAGTCGTCACGCTTCCGATAGCGAGGGAAGTACTGTCTAAACTCTTTAGACCAATTTTTTTGATTTTCCCATTTCTCCATTTCTCAATTTTTCAATGTTTCAGTTTGGGAGTTTTTCACTGTTTCGATTCTTTAATTTTCCTTCCATTTTTAGGTTTTTCAATATTTCAGCTTTGGAATTGTGCAATATTTCGTTTCTTCAATTTTTCAAATTTTTGATAGTGTTTTCTCGGTTTTTAAATTTTTCGATATTTTAATTTTTCAGTTTTTAAAGCTTTAGGGTTTTAGATTTCTCACTATCTCGACTTTTCGATTTTTCAGTTCCATGATTTTTCAATTTGTCGAATTTTTAAATTTTAGATTTTTTGTTCTCGATCATTCAATTTTCTGAGTTTTCAGGCTTAGATTTTTTTTGTTGTTCAATTCTTGGATTTTAAAAATTTTTGTTTTTTAAATTTTCCTATTTATCAACTTACTGGTATTTCAATGTTTTGATTTTTTGATTGTTCAATTTCTCGATTTTTTGAATTTTTAGTTTTTGATATGATTTTTTTTCAAACATTTTCAGTTTTTTAATTTATTAACTTTACGATATTTCAGTTTTACGATTTTTAAATGTTTTTATTTTTCAGTTTTCAATTTTTGACGTTTCTAAATTTTTGGATTTTTCAATTTTTCGATTAACTGATTTTTTGATTTTCCCATTTCTCTATTTCTTAATTTTTCAATTCTTTCTTCAATTGTGATTTTTCAATTTTTCGATTTCTGGATTTTTCAATGTTTTAGTTTTGGATTTTTTCACTTTTCCGATTCTTCAATTTTCTTTCCATTTTTCAGTTTCTCAAGATTTCAGTTTTGAATTTTTTCACTTTTTCGATTTTTCAGTTTTCCTTCCAAGTCATCTGCAAACATCAAACATTCATTTCCGACGTCACTAGCTGTATCGTCAATAAACAGATTAAACAACAACGGGCCCAACACAGACCACTGAGGAACCCCCAAATCTTGAATATAGCGATGAGATTCAAAACCATCATAAGTGAGATAGAGAGGTCTGTTTGTCAAATAGGAACTAAAACAAAGCAATCAACGAGTCCGATATACCAAACCTTCTAAATTTAACAAGAAGCAGATTATGATCTATTCTAATAAAGTGCTACATAACACTCTTAGATAATAAATATCTATGGTTAGCTTTTAAACATTTACACTAAATTTCACGCAATTGGCAGAATAATTTTGGAAATTACCTACGGGTCCAATAAACTCGTCAATACATAGTCAACAGAAAGACGGAAACGGAAGACCGGTACTTTGTATTGTAAAAAATATGAAACTAGTGATCAGATAAATGAGTCCTGTTACAATAGTTTTCCAGAACGCAAGAAAATAATTTTCATTTTTATAAATGACTATTTCTGATTATTAAAATTCAACAACTTGCAACGATTTAATTCATTAAGATATAGTTGAAAAGGATTTCTAGGTTTCAAATTTATCCCAAAAACATTTTTAGAATAGGGATGAAGTGCGTTCAGAAAAAATCAGCCTATTTATTTATGTTCTACCACCATACTAAGGTGTCACATAGTTAAGGGATACTTGTGTTTAATATTGTAAGTTTTATCCAAAAATGTTTTATAGGAACCTGTCCCACGATCAGCAGCACTTCAGTAGTGACAGTGACGTGTAGTTTTGATGGTAAAATGTTAGATTCTTGTGCTGATCCATTTGATGGAACAGTTGCACGATTTTATTGTGCTTTTAATTATGAAGCTCAGGAGAGAGATGCAGTGCGTCTGTGTTCAAATGGTAACTGGATTGGCAATCTACCAGTATGTGTCCCAAGTAAGTTAATTTTAATAATTTTAATACAGCAATTTACCTTATACCTATCTCTTTCTATAAAACTGCAAATAAGGCATCAAATTAGGTACGTTCAGAAGGTCGGTCAGAATGATTTCTATTTTTTGACACGGGTGCTAAGGTTAGTTAGTGAACAGAAACAAACATTACTTGGCGTTCCTTTTTTCGTTTGATAAAAACATAAAAAAATATTCGTTAGTTTATTATTCAGTTGTTCTTACATTACAAACTTTCAGCATGTGGAAAACCATCAGCTGAGAATGATCCCAGACTGATTGTTGGTGGAACTAAAGCACAACGAGGAGAATACCCTTGGCAGGTAGCTCTATATAATAAAATAAATAAAGTTTTACTTTGTAGCGGAACTTTACTAAATCAGAGAGTTATCGTGACAGGTAATATTTGTAATTGTGGGAAAGAGGAAAATTATGTAAATAGTGTTATAATAGTATCTATTTGTAGCGGCACATTGTATAACAGATGTTGAAGGCAAACTACAACCAAAAGACCTTTTTGTGGTTGCTGTTGGCAACTATTTTCGAGAATATAATCACCCTGATGATTCCAATACTACACAATTTTCTCGTGTTTGTTACTTTGTACGAAAAAGGTAACAGTCTATACTTTTTTCTTCATTTTCAGATATATAAAATGTACATTCCGCGACAATACAAGGCCGCTGCGCAACATTACTTTGGCGATGTTGGTATTATAGTCACAACAAAAATTTTTAATTTATCTAACAGTGTTCTGCCAATCTGTATTATGTGGGAATCAAGGCGACATCAAGCACTGACAGATCCTGCAAGAACGAAGCATGCTTATGTAATAGGAAATTTTCAGCAGCCATCAATCACACTTTACGATCTTTATTTGTAGATCAGTGGTTGGGGTTATACTGTAGAGTACAAAAAGCCTTCCGATGTTCTTAAACGTTTAAAAGTTCCTCTTATTACTGACGAAAAATGTAGTCGGAGATTATCTGAAGACGAAGTTAAATATCTGACTGATGATAAGCTATGTGCCGGATTTTTAAATTCTAGTAAGTAGCTAAAATATCGCATTTCGTCAACCTTTTGACTTTTTTATGTTCCAAGCATTTTATCAGGTTTCACTTCGTAAGAGAACAGCAAAAAAACTTACTTACCTATTTGTGTAGTAATTTGAAGTTTCTAAATGGTTTTGACTGTTGAAATTGTATTATGATCTAACTGTAACGATGCTTCAGGTACTTCCGTCTGCAAAGGCGATAGTGGTGGAGGTTTGGTAGCTAAATTCGGAAAACGTTATTACATCATTGGAATTGTAAGTATCGCACCACAAAAAAACTCAGCAGAAGGTGGTTGTGATACCCAAAAATACACTCTGTATACAAGATTTTCCTACTACATTGAGAAATTCATCCTAAAAAAAGAGGCGCGATTTAGACCGTAAGTACTATAAGTACACCCAAATTTTTAAACAGTCATTACTATTTGGAATTTAGTCGTTTGGACTGCCCAGATGGTTTTAATTGTCACAACGAAATCCCAGTGACTACACCACGGACAACGACACAAGTGGTTACCGAATCGTCTAGAGGGTAAACTGCTTTTGATGTCATAATAAAAAATATTTTACTGACAACAATTTGAATGCAGTCATTGTACATTACCGAATCATCCCAAATTTGGAAAGTGGAGCGTTACAGGAGTAAATGATGCACTTCAGCCTGGAATGTCCGTAGCGTCGGGAACTGTTGCGTTAATAGAGTGCAACGCAGGTTATAAACACGATAGTTACAATATTATATTCTGCCACAATGACCAGTGGTCATCTGATATTGGTAGATGCTTGAGTAAGTAACTTATCGTAAAAACCTACTCCACGCGATTTATAATAATAATAATATTTTAATGTCTAAGAGAATAAGTCTAAAAGTACAGGAATATTATTTGTCACAGAACTATTGAAACCAAGATTGGTTTTTCTTACAAATACTGTTCAAATTCTTGTCGTTTTTATTCTGCTTTCACAGAAACTTGTAGCCCAAGAGTAAGTACGGCAACAATGCAGGTTAAGTGCAGCTATCATGGAAAAGAAACTGAAAATTGTACGGACGCTGTTGACGGCACTATCGCCAAATTTCGGTGTATTCCATTTTATGAAGACCTGCAATTAATGAGAAGACCTGTTCATATTTGTAGCAATGGTGTATGGGACCAACCACTTCCGCATTGTGTACCAGGTAAATATCTCTGTCTATGATAATTTTTAATTGGGTACAAACTCGAAATACCACCGAATCAAAAGTTCTATGTAACTTTAAATAGGAACAATGAAAGATTGAGACTTTTCGATTTTTAGATTTCAGATTTTTTAAGTTTCCGACTTCTCAATTTTTGCAACATTATCAGTTTACGATTTTTCAACTTGGCTTTTTTGACAATTTTTGGATATTTCGTCCAATTTTGTGATTTTTCAATTTTTTAAATTCTGGAATTACGACTTCTCGATTTATCAATTTTTAACTTTTCTTCTCGGCTTCTCGATTTTTCGATTTCTCGCTATCTCAGAGTTTTAATTTTTCTTCAATTCTGCGACATTTTAATTGTTCAATGTTTTAAATTTTAGATTTTTCGATTTCTCGACTTTTTGATTTTTCAGTTCTTTGGTATTTCTGTTTTTCAATTTTTCAAATTTTGACGTTGCTAAATTTTCGATTTTCCGATTTCTCATTTAAACTAAACCAAACTCCCTTGACATACACCTAGTAAAACTTTTGACTTAAACGACTTAAGCCAAACCAACCTTGTAAGTCAAACTCGCTATTGTAAGCTTTATGGATCCGAACTGCAAGGATTATTACTGTCTATTGTTGCCATAGTGGAGCTGTAAAGTTTTCCTAGGTATATGTCACCAAATATGTTAAGTTATACAATAGCCAGTTTGACTTATAAGGGTGGTTTGGCTTAAGCCGCTTAAGTGATAAAATTTGTACTAGCATTTATTTTTTTTTTTTTGTAATACTGTATTTTTATGTACGTACCTTGTCCTGTTATTGGGCCTTAAGCCCGTTGGGCACTGTATTGAAATAAATAAATAAATAAATAAATAAATAAACTAGGTGTATCTCAAGTGAGTTTAGTATATTTTTGATTTTTCAATTTTTCGATTTTTTAAGTTTGCGATTTTTCGACTTTGCTTTTTTGACAATTTTTGGACATTTCGTTCAATTTTTCGATTTTTCAGTTATTTAGTTTTTCAATTTTTCTTCAATTTTTCAATTGTTCGATATTTGGGTTTTGGGACTTTTTAGAATTTCGATTTTTCGAGTTCTGCTGGATTTTTAGATTTCTCGACTTTTTACGTTTAGGATTTTAAATTTTTCGTATTTTAAACTTTAGATTTTTCAAATTTTCGAATGTTCTATACTTCGATTTCTCAATTTTTCAAGGTTACGCTATTTTAACTTTTCAATTTTTAAAATTTTAGGTTTTTCGATTTCTCAAGTCTTCAGTTCTTCTATATTGCAACTTTTCAATTTTCGAAATTTTTAAATTTACGATTTTCCAATTTTTCAATATTTCGATTTTTCAATTATCCGATTGTTCATTTTCTCAATATTTAAATTTTAGATTTTCCAATTTTTATTTTTTTGATTTTTTCATGTTTCTCGATTTTACAATTTTTCGATATTTGAATTGTCCATTGTTTTAGATTTTAGATTTCTCGATTTTTCATTTCTTCAATAGTCCTATTTTTCAGTTTTTCGATTTTTCAATTTTGCCATCTTGGTTTTTCAATTTTTAAAATTTTCCAACTCTTCGATTTTTAGATTTCCCGATTTTTTAAGTTTTCGATTTCTCAATTTTTGCAACATTATCAGTTTGCGATGTTTCGACTTTGCTTTTTTAACAATTTTTGGATATTTCGTTGAGTTTTGAGATTTTTCAATTTTTCAATTTTTAAATCATGGAATTACGATTACTCGATTTGTCGATTTTTCAGTTTTCCAATTTTTAAATTTTCGAATTTTAATAACTTTTTGATTTTTTGATGTTTGGGATTTCTCGATTCTTCAATTTGCGATATTTTAATTGTTTAAATTTTTAAAAATTTTAGATTTTTCGATTTCTTGATTTTTTGGTTTTCAGTTCGTCAATATTTCTATTTTTCAATTTTGCAAATTTCGAAGTTGCTAAATTTTCAATTTTCCTATTTCTAAATTAATCTATTTTTGATTTTCCCATTTCTCGACTTCTCAAAGTTTCGGTTTTTCAGTTCTTCAATTGTTCGATTTTTCGACTTTCTTGGTTTTTCGATTTCTCAATTTTTCATTTTTTTAATTTCTCAATTTTTGGATATTTCTTTCAGTTTTGGGATTTTTCAATATTTTCGACTTCTGGATTTTTTGATTTTTAATTTTTTGGATTTTCAGTTTTTCGTTTCTTAAACTTTAGAATTTTCAATTTTTCGACTGTTTTATATTTCGATTTTTCGAATTTTCAGTTCTTCTATATTTTAATTTTTCAATTTTCCGAATTTTTAATTTCCGATTTTTCAATTTTTTGAGACCTCGATTTATCGATGTTTTGATTGTTCAATCTCTCGATTTATCAATTTTTCCGACTCCTCGATATCTCGATCTTTTATTTTTTTGATTACTCGATGTCTCAGTTTTTGAATTTTTCGATTTGTCGGTTTTCCGATGTTTCGATTTTTAAATTTCCGAGTTTCGAATTCTCTATTTGTTGATTTTTCAGTTTTTCGAGTTTTAACTTTCAGATTTTTGATTTTATATTTTTTTTGATTTTTCGATGTTTGAATTTCTCCATTTTTCAATTTTACGATATTTTAATTTTTGAATGATTTAAATTTTAGATTTTTTAATCTTTCAGTTGTTCAATACTTTTTAATTTTCCAAATTTTGACGTTTCTGTATTTTCAGTTTTGCAATTTCTCAATGAATCTATTTTTTGATTTTCCCATTTCTCGACTTCCCAAAGTTTCGGTCTTTCAATTCTTCAATTTTTCGAATTTTAAGTTTGCGATTTTTCCACTTTGCTTGTTTGACAATTTTTGGATATTTCGTTCAGTTTTGTGATCTTTCAATTTTTCAATCCTGGAATTACGATTACTCGATTTGTGGATTTTTCAGTTTTTCAATTTTGCAAATTTCGAAGTTGCTAAATTTTCAATTTTTCTATTTCTAAATTAGTCTATTTTTGATTTTCCCATTTCTCGACTTATCAAAGTTTCGGTTTTTCAGTTCTTTAATTCTTCGATTTCTCGACTTTATTTTGCGATTTCTCAATTTTTCAATTTTTTAATTTCTCAATTTTTGGATATTTCTTTCAGTTTTGGGATTTTTCAACATTTCGATTCTCCAAGTTTTTGATTTTCCGACTTCTGCATTTTTTGAGTTTTTATTTTTTGGATTGTCAGTTTTTCGTTTCTTAAACTTTAGAATTTTGAATTTTTCGACTGTTTTATATTTCGATTTTTCGAGTTTTCAGTTCTTCTATATTTTAATTTTTCAATTTTCCGAATTTTTAATTTTCGATTTTTCAATCTTTTGAGACCTCGATTTATCGAGACTCGGATGTTTCCATGTTTTGATTGTTCAATTTCTCGATTTATCAATTTTTCCATTTTTAACTTTTCCAATTTTTCGATTTTAACCTATCTCAGTTTCTCAATTTTTCGATTTTTCAACTTCTCGACCTTTTAATTTTTTCATTACTCGATGTCTCAGTTTTTGAATTTTTCGATTTGTCGGTTTTCCGATGTTTCGATTTTTAAATTTCCAAGTTTCGATTTCTCGATTTGTTGATTTTTCAGTTTTTCGAGTTTTAACTTTTAGATTTTTGAATTTTATATTTTTTTGATTTTTTCATGTTTGGATTTCTCCATTTTTCAGTTTTACGATATTTTATTTTTTGAATGTTTTAAATTTTAGATTTTTTAATCTTTCAGTTCTTCAATATTTTTTAATTTTTCAAATTTTGACGTTTCTGAATTTTCAGTTTTACGATTTCTCCATTAATCTATTTTTTTATTTTCCCATTTCTCGACTTCCCAAAGTTTCGGTCTTTCAATTTTTCAATTTTTCGATTTTTAAGTTTGCGATTTTTCGACATTGCTTGTTTGACAATTTTTGGATATTTCGTTCAGTTTAGTGATTTTTCAGTTCTTCAATTTTTCTTTTATTTTTCAATTTTTGGGTTTTGGGATTTTTTAGTATTTCGACTTTTCGGGTTCTGGATTTTTCGATTTCTCGACTTTTTACGTTTTGGATTTTCAATTTTTCGTTTCTTATACTTTAGATTTTTTCAAATTTTCGACTGTTTTATATTTCTCAATTTTTCAACTTTTCGATATTTTAATTTTTCAATTTTTAAAATTCTCGGTTTTTCGGAATTTTTAAATTTTTGTTATTCCAATTTTTTGATGTTTTGATTTTTCAATTATCCGATTGTTCAATTTCTCGATTTTTAAATTTTAGATCTTCCAATTTTTATTTATTTTTATTTTTTCTAACTTTAACTTAACCTACATTTAATAAATTTTGATTTTAGTGTGTGGACAAAGACCACCTCGACATATTAGTTTCATTCCTGAGGAAACAGCCGAAGGAGCTAATTATCCTTGGCACATTTCTATACACAATGTGCTAGACAAACAGCAGGTAATTTGTAGTGGATCACTTTTGAGTCAAAAAATTGTTTTAACAGGTAAGTTTAAAAATCTTGATCGAAAATTAATCATTTTTAAAATGTTATAGCTGCAACTTGCATTACTTATCAAGGAGGAAATTTAAAAAATAAAACAAATTATGTTATTTCTGCTGGGAAAATGTTTAACGATTTTAACGACGCCCGAGACAGTCAGGCCCAATTTTCTAATGTATGTTTATTTTAGTTGTAAAGATTAATATCAGTGTACTGTCAATACAATATTAATTTTAGATAGACGAAATCTTCCTACCACAAGAATATAAAGGGCATATTCAAAATTATGTCGGTGATATTGCCATACTAAGTTTGAAAGAGGCTTTCGTGATTTCGCGAAATGTATTACCTGTATGTTTAGACGTTGCACAGAATTATAAACCTCCAGAGAATGGGTATGGTTTTGTGAGTTTATAAGTTAATTGTGAAAGCAGGAAATATAACAATATTTTACATTTCTAGGTATCTAGTTGGGGTGTGATAGATCCTAATTCTTCAACTGCCTTAGAAGAATGGGAAACTGTTCTTGTTTCTCAGTCAGAGTGCAATGATGAGGTACCAGCTGGTTTCGAAAATTACTTAACTTATGATAAAATCTGTGCTCGTAGTGTAATCAATGGTACATATAGATTAAGAATTTATATTCTTGTAAAAACAAAACTGACGCATTTTTCAGGAACCGGCTGTAAACCAGACAGTGGTGCTGCTCTTGTAACAAAGTACGACGACAGGTACTATATTACTGGTCTTGCTAGTCTGTCTCCGGCATCCCCTTCGTCAGTCGGACTGGAAACTCATTGCAACCAAATGGTGCTTTACACAAATGTATCTAAATACATAAACTCGTTTATTTTAAAAATATTAGCTGCATATAAGATATGACTTTTAATAGTTAAATAAAAGGATCAACATACTTCCCGACATACACAAATGTAACTGTTGTTAATGTTAGTTTACGTATGGGAAAAAATATACTTTTTGGAAGAGTTTTCATAGCAATTTTGTGTATTATAAAGAAGAAACGTGCAAAAATACTTAGAAATATATTTTCTTTTAGTACACTGCCTCTGGTCCTCTGTTGTTGACCGACAGCTCCCAATGTAGCACAGACAGTATCATAAGCGGCTCTTCCGTGGAGATCTTTTGCCGGGATATCTTGGTAGAATGAGTCATGCTCCCTCCTGTCATTCTACCTCCAATGTTTCTAGTTTTGATGAATTTTCATTTCCTCTATCTTTGCTGAGACAATGGGTGGTAGTGCAATAAAAAAAACTTATACCTGTCAGATTTACAACTTCTTTACTTTTCTATATTTATGTAATTTTATATTAAAAACTTATCTAACATCGAAATCACCGACTGCATCGTTATCAAAAACTAAAATTTCGTAAGAATCCATATTTAATTCCTGATTTTTGTAAGGAAAATATAATGATGCATTTCCAATATTGTAACTGCAAACTTTGCCCACTATTACTTCTTCTTGGTACGAACCTCTTCCAATATTTAAAAGTTTACCATTTTCGTAACCTCCTACTACCAAATGTTTACCAATAATATCCGTATGGAGTGTACATGCTTTTGCAGGTAACCATACAAATTTCTCTAGATGCTGGCTACAGAGAATCTGCTCCAAAATTTTGTAGAATGAACATTAATTATTATTTAAGAAATATTCTAGATATATCGTACCTTTACGGCTTCACACGATGTATGTATTCCTTGTTTGGAAGCTGTTACCGATTTTATTCCTTTGTAGATTCTTGTTGTTAAGAGTCCATGATTTAAAACCAATAATTGTCCAACGTAAGTTCGTTCTAGATTTTTGTCATACCCGGCAGGTACGGCGTCATCGGGTATTTCTCCATTGTAATCTCGCCAATAGTAATCTCGAAGATAAATTCAAATATAGGAAATAGTGCAAAAAGTACACATAAAAACTCTTACCAAACTTTGAACTGCTCATCTCCGTTGCTGTTCGAATACAGAGAAGTTACATATATTGAGAGTAAATACACACCTTCTCTTACTGATAAGAAATTTTGTCAACTGTAGAATAAATATTGAATTAAAAGGAATGAATGCACAAAGTACTTTTGACGACTTGTTTGTACCATAAAGCAATAAATTATGATATAAACGTTGCTAAAAGATAAAAACCATTCTGAACTCTGTGACAAAATATATACATTTATGGTGAACCGGAAATTAAACCCTTAAAATAGCCCGCTTGTGGTACATAGTAATTTTCCATAGCGAGCCTACCCTTCGTTATCATGGGAACCAAAAGTCCGAACATTTGAGTTAATATCAATTAACATAATTTTCAAGGCCTCACATAGTCACACCTCCTTCCAGGAATAGTCGCCAAAACGCAGTCTATGCCCTAAGATAGAGAAAATTTTCGCGCCCAATCAAATCATTCCAATTGCAATTAATATACAAAGTTGCAATCGCAAACAACGAGAAGGCGAGCCCTTTGATACCTTTTTAACTGATTGCAAAACTTTGGTGCAAGCATGTGACTTCAAGAATGCCGATGAACTCTTGAGGGACAAAATAGTATTGGATGCTGCTGACACGGACACCATCGACACGCCATTGAAAAATTTCGAATTGCTGAACTGGTAAGAAGACAAACCCAAGAAATCCATGGAAAAGAAGTCAACCTGGTAGCTGGAAAGAAACAGGAGAACCAACAGAAAAATGGAAGGTTTGTTCAACAAAAATGGAGAGAAACCCCTTCTTCCTCCTCCTATGAGAGACCGAAAAATACAGATGGAAAGTTCCACGACAAGAGGAAGGAGAGATACGAAAGAAACAATGGAAACAGCCCAGGAAATTGTCAACGCTGTGGGAGAAGACACGAGAGACAACAATGTCCAGCAAAAGGCAAGCAGTGTCAGAAATGTCTCAAATTTAATCATTTTTCAAAAATGTGTAAAACGCCAGCTCATAATATTTCAAATTCAATTGAAGTTTCCAACATTGATGACGACGATAATACGTATTATTGTAATAATATTAGGAAATTCAGGGTAAATTCAATCTCATGCAGCAAATTTCTGAAAGTTGAAAATGTAAATGTAAATTTTAAATTAGATACTGGTTCAGATGTTAATTTAATACCATACAATGTCTTTGAAAATATACAAAAAACTACGTACAAAAAAAAATTAAAATTAACGAGTAGTAATCTCAAATTAGAAGCGTATGGAGATTCAACAATAAAACATTTTGGACATGTTGATCTAAATGTTAAGACTGATACAATGAATTCCGTTGAAAAATTTATTGTCACCAAAGCTAATTTTACACCGATCTTGGGACTAAGTTCATGTTTAAAATTAAACTTAATCAATATGAAAGTTGATAAAATAGAAAAGGACAATGGTAAAGAAAATTTAATTGAAAATTTCAAAGGTGTAGTTTGTTTTCCAAATAAATATAAAATCGAACTAAAAAACGACGCAAATCCTGTATCTTTGCCACCTTACAGAATTCCTATAAAATTGCAGGATAAAGTTAAAAATGAATTAGACAGATTGTATAAATTGGATATTATTACAAAATATGAGCAACCGACGGCATGGGCTAGTAGACTCACTGTTGTAGAAAAACCAGATAAAACGTTGAGACTGTGTTTAGATCCCAAATATATAAATGAAAGTATTAAAGACGAGCATTTTGAAATACCTACATTGTCTGATCTAAAATCTAAACTTGGTAAAGCCAAATTTTTTAGTTGTTTGGATCTAAAGGAGAGATTTTGGCAGATTAGGCTTGATGAAAGTTGTATTCAATACTGTGTTTTTTCAACAATGTTTGGTAGTTATGCGTTTAAAAGACTACCATTTGGTTTGAAAATATCTGCCCAAGTCTTTCAGAAATTCAATTCTCAAACTTTCGGAGATATTATTAGAGATCAGAGCTGTTCAAAGTACTCAAAAAAAGTACTTGAAGTACCAAGTACAAAGTACTACTTGAAATAGTGTTCAAGTAAAGTACCAAGTACTTACTTTCAGCAAGAGTATTTCAAGTATCAAGTACTTTTCAGATGTACTTGAAGTACAAGCCAAGTACATTACTTCAAGTACTTACGAGTACTTGAAGTACTGGAGGCATACTTCAAGTACTTACAAATACTTGAAGTACTGAAAATGCTTCAAGTACTTTCTAATTATTTGAAATACTGTAGAATTAGATAACTTTTCCTGTTTTTTTAAAAAAGCTTAATATATTTTAGAACTGAATTTTTTAATACTCAGAATTTAAGTATACAATAATACATACTTCGCCACATAAAAAATTGCATAAGCATCAACTTAAATGCAGAATGGTAGCTCACTTATTAATAATACTATGTTATTTATAAACAATATTCTTTTGAAATACTTTTACATCTTTCTGTTGACACAATGCCTTCGACAAAATTAACGTCTATTTCTAATTTAAAATTTAAAATAAAATACATGACGGCGTTGTCTATGTATGCTTACTATTAATTTATAACAAAAACATCGGCGCTGTATGGTATTTTCTCAGGCTTCTGTTGACTTTTTTTTATATTTTGAATTTTGGTTCACCACCAAAACGTTCTGATTTTTTAATAAAGTTGTGTTAAAAATATATGAATTTTATGAACCGGTTTCGTGTTTAAGTTTGTGGGCAGTTTACAGCACCCTTAATCATTACCCACTGTGAAAGTGCACAGGGCCGGATTTCTGAAAGTGAAATTTTTCAGAAAAAAATTTTAAGAGCAGTGCGATACATATACATGCTCGTGACATAAAAATGTTTAAGTCACTATGTTGCATTTTCAAAAAAAATGTATGAATTTTTTAAATAAAAAATAAAATGCCTAAAACGAGAGTCCATTTTCAGCGAAAACTATAACTCTTGAAAAATATCAAGGTGATCAAAGTAATTAGTCGTTTTTTACTTTTGCGGTTACCAAAAATGCTGAGAATTTTCTTGGAATGAATGCCCCATATTCCTGAATATATCTATCTACCACTTACGTATTTACTATTCTAAAAATTATTAAATTAACCTAAATACTAGAGTGACTAAATAGTAAACACTAATCACTACAATGTTTGTCTAACTAAGTGTGCAACTTTACACTGACAAATCACAAATAATAGGTTCGTAATGCTGTTCCGTCCATTTATACAAAATTTTGTTCCTCTAATGCCACAATACTTTCAAAATTTTCCTTTACATTTTCGATTGGCTTATTTTTTATTTTTACCTGAAAACCCAAAGAAGATGACATTAGTAACTGATAACTACAATGACTTCAGGGAATGCCTAACAACGGCTTTTGCGAAAATTCAGGTAAATATGTACTAAATTTATTATTGTTAAAATATTTCGTAGGGGTGTATTTATCTAGGCAATTATACTAACTAATCGCAAATTTCATTAACTTTGTATTTTTTTTATAATGTGAATATGTGTTTTGTTCCAATTACGGAAGGGGCCACTGACCCTTTTGGGTATCTTTACCTGATATTGTAAATACAAATGTAAATTCAGTACTTCTGTAACCGTCCTGTATTTAAACATCGAAACCGAACGCTGTCTATTATTTCGCACACAACAAAACAAAGGTCCTTCGAGCAATATCAAAGTACAATTCGGTACTCATCAAAACCATACAATCACGGTCGTATCAACTGGATTACAAAAAACATTGGTACTACGAGCCGAGTTTCACAAAACATATTTCATTTTGAACAATATTGGGTTTATGTAATAAGCGATGCAATGCAAAACGTAAAGTTGTTGTACGGTAATAAATAAAATCCGCACAGGAAAGATAAATGACACTAATTAGTGTGACTTTTAAAATCATTGTTTTTCTGCATTACGTCTTTTTAAATTGTTGGTGTTCAAATAATTCACACAATTTAACAGATTATTTGAAACTGTAATGTGAGAAAATATAAGTAGTAATAACAAACTAAGTTTATATGGCTGAACCATGTATAAACAAAAAAAGAAAATTTGGTAAAAAACGAGTGTCTAACATGATAAAGAAAATTAAACTGCAAAATATTTAACATAAAATTGTGTTTAAATTCTAGGAGGGAGAGGCAAATATGAAAGTCTGTACCTGCCATCAGCTATTGCTATTATAATAAAAGGGATAATCCCCTGCCGAGTTCTCCGCCCTGACCAGGCTTCTTACTGACAAATACACGGCGGGGTTAAGAAACTAATGAAAGAATAAATATCTTTTTGAACGAGTACTGAATCATTTCTCAAATATTTCCAAATCCGACCTTGCACTTTAGCAGGTACGTCAACAAACCCGATTCCCTTTGGGGTACCGGGAAGGTACTGAAAAACTACCCGCAAAGTTAAGTTCCAGACCAAAATACAAAAAAGACAAAATTCATATATTCACAACTTTACATCGCTGAAAATTTTACATCCACTCTCAAATGACATATTTATGACATTAATTTTCTTACCTACCTATCTATCGGCATTATGCAAGTACCTATGAAATGTACGTCATATTGTGGATAAGATATCCACAATCACAGATCAAAATATAACCTCACAGGAAACAAACACGATTTTACTATAAAAATACATCTAATCAAATAATTGAATTAATAACTTCAAGTATTTAACAGACCCTATTTTGAGATGTGAAAACTTCGTAAAATAGAGACTAAAGTATTTGAAATTTCCACTTTCATACTTCAAGTAATTCAAGAGTATTTAAAATACTGAGTGAAGTACTTGGAGTAAAGTACTTGGCAAAATCAAGTACTAAACTCAAGTACATTTTAGAAATACTTCAAGTACCAAGTACCAAGTACCTAAACATAAAAGTACTTCAAGTAAAGTACTTGAAATACTTAAAGTACTTGAAGTATTACTTCAAGTACTTTTACTTGAAGTACTGAACAGCTCTGTTAGAGATATTGATGATATATTGATTTTTGCAGAAACTGAAGAACAGCATGATCAAACGCTAATTAAAGTTCTAGAAAGGGCAAAAGCAATGAATATTAAATTCAATTTAAAGAAATTCCAATAT